AAAGAGTGTCTCGACGCGTGCTTGCTTTAGTATATCCACGCAACAGCTTAGTTAGCTGCCAACAATGGATAGGTAATGCTATGCGAACTAGATAAACATTGTAAAACGTTCGATAATAACAAACCTTTAGAAGGTTGAATAATTCTCGGAAAGTAAAGCTTATAAATTTCCGTTTGGAAAATTCTGGAATTCCGAACAGATTCAAAGATTTAGATAAGAATTTTTTAGATATCTTACATATTTATATAGTTAAAAAGATTTATTTTATTTTTGAAAAAGGAAAAATTAATTTAAAATATCTAAAAAAATTATAAATTAAAAAATTATATTTGTGTATATTAAATTTATATTAAAGTAGCGTCTAAAAAATATATAATAAATATAATATAATAAAATAATAAAATATTTCAAAATTGTTATTCAACAATTAATTATACAGAATTATATAATGATACGATTCACCAAGCTAATAGTTATATACTTTGTAATTTTATAAATCTATTTATATGAATAGGTTCAATATTCTGCCAAATTAATTTGGTATTAAATTAATAAAAATTATTAAAAATTTAATATCTGGTAATGAAATAAATAATAAAGTGTTTAGTTTGATGAAATTTAATAATAAAATTTTGTTCTGGTAACTGAAGTTACTATAAAAAAGGAGTAGAATGACAATTTTGTAAAAGATTCAAATCTACATTTATTAATATCAATAATTTTTGTATTTATAATAATTAAATATATAACAATTAATCATAATCGTTTTGTATGATTTCCAATAGACTATGATTACTAGTATTCATCATTGCCAACATAATTTTAATAAAATATATTAAATACTCTGAGTTCATCATAAAACTATCAACAAGAAGTCAATTATTGACAAAATATTAGATGAAATTATTATTTTTTGCACATATTGGCTGAATAAGTGATTCACAAAATCAGAAATAATCAAATTTAATAATTTGCTAGGGTACATATCCATAAAAATATAAGTTATATTTCACGTAACTCTTATTGATCGTTAGACTTATCGATCTTTCACCTCAAATAACCTTAACTTTGTCAGTTATTTTATTTTCATTCATCCTTAAAAACTGGGTATAGTAAAGTATATACAGTATTCTGCATGGCTAATTAATACAATATTGATTTGAATACATTATGAGAGTAATTAAATTGATTAAAGTCAGGAAGATGAAATTATATAATATTAATTACATCTATTTGTTTAAACATATGTTCAAAAGAATAATAATTTCTCTTTAAATAAAAAATGCATATAAGATTAAAGAAAGATTAAAAAAAACAATTCAACGTAATTCTACGTAAAAGAAATGTTTCAAATTAAAATTAAATGAAATGAGTATTGTGATTATAATAAATAATCCCAGCTCTTACACCTTCAAAAGTAGTAATGTATTGATAATATAGGACATGTTCAAATATAAACTTTGGAATATAAGTTAATACGATAATATAATTTGTAAATATATTAATAATGAAATATATAGTGGTAAGATTGTAAATGATTTATTAAAAACTAAAAAAATTTAAATAAATTATAATGATATACGTTTTATTAGTCAATATTAAATATTGAAGTGAAAATGTGGTAAAACCCAATCTCGAAATCTGTCTTAAAAACGCTCAAGTCAATAAATACACGTATAATTTTCGAAAAACGAATCCTTAAAATGGTATGATCTATTTATATTACAATTTATTAAATATATCAAAATAAAAAACCTTATAAACTTAAATTTACCGTTATGCAAAAATTTGAAGGAATAATCAAATGCTACCACAATTACAAAAATAGAAGTTGCATTATATAATGTACATACATACTTATAAATTTTAATATTTATGTTTTAAATATTAATATAATAATTGAAGAATTAAAACTAGTATTATTATTAAAACTACTCGTATTATTCTATATATCATATAATTTTTTTATAATTTCAATAATTATCTTTTCAGTATGTCATAAGATGATGTAGTTGAAAAAAATAATAGAAGATGAGTTGATGCAAAATATAATCATCTTTATCAAGAAGTATGAAATTGTCCATTGCCATTCACAAACAAATATTCGAATCTAGAAATTTGAATGTATATGAATTTGTGAATTTGTATTCTTATTTAATATATTAATAAAAAATTTTTTAAATAGTTAAAAATTCTGTTTTTTGAAATTATGTAAAATTGAATAAAACGAAATTATTCTTAATTATATTTTTTATTGTATTTTGTATATTTAAAATTTATTCTTTTATATGTTTATTTAATAAATTAGTAATATATATAACGTTATTTTCACAATAGCTTTCATTTAAAAAATCCAAAAAATATATTTTTATATATACTTCAAAAATCAATTTAGTCTGTACCTAATATAATAAACTAAATATTGTTGCAGATCCATAAACTTTTATCATACGTGAGTATGGTAGTATGAGTATGAGGAAAGTGATTTAAAATTTAATTGACATATCTTTCAATTATGATCCTTCAATGATTATAATAAACTATAATACGTAGTATGGAAAAATAAAATAGATTTTAAATGCATACGAGAATATTTATAGGTAACTAATGTACTTCACCACGGACTTTAGACAAGAATCTAAAAACCTATTTCTTGTTTAACTTAAAACATTAAATTACTTATAAAAAGCTCGTTAAGTATATTGGAAAAGTTTACAATTAGAATTTTTAAATTTCAAAACTTTTCTACTATATTATCATTTTACATGAAATAGCAATTTTAACGAATCTGAAAATTGAAAAAGTAGACTCATATTTTATAATAAAAAAATCTAACGATCGCATTGATTATAGAGACTGAATTTATTATATAATTCTACATGTATATTTTTACTGTAGCAGAACAATATATCTTTTTTAAACAATTTCTTAATCATTTGTTTATGCTTTTTCTAAAATTCAATTTAATGGAATAAAAGAACTTTAGTTGCTATAATATATAAAAGATATTTTGCTAAAATGTATTCCTACTAAATAAGCCATTTTATGAGTGGATAAGTTCCTCTTTCTAATTTAAAATGAAATATATTGGTCATTTTTTTAAAGAATATAAAAAACAAAAATATATAAAATAAATACATACGTACGAGTGAAGAAACAGTAGAATCTATTATCTAAAATTAAAAGCCATCAGAAACGATTTAACAAAAAAAAGGGGTCATTAAATATGAAAATAAAAATGATTGCATAATGTCATAAGAAAATTCAAGTAAATAAAAAATACACTTCAATTAGTGAGATGGCAAAATATACTAAAGAAAAAATTAACTTTTTGCATCTATAAGTCGAAATAATATGTACATTATCGCTCTAAATAAAAATCTAAATATAAAAGAATATAGGCATACCCAGATATCCACAAATATTCATTTGATGACGTAACATACCAAATATAAAATAGATTTAATGGCACATTTTATCAACGATAATTACAAGAACTAAAGAGACAGTTATATAAAACATTAGCAATTTTAATATAATTAGTTCTTAGCCGAATGTAAATGAAACTTACGTTATATATTTTAACTAAATAAAACTACCGATTCAAAACTATTTTTAAACTAATGTGCATTCATCATTATTAAAAATACGTATAAATATTATTTTCAAATCTTAAGATAAAATTTTTTCTTTTTAATTATTAAATAAGATTATAATTTTGAAAAGAAATTGTTATATAAAATCTAAAAAATTAGACAATTTTAACGTATTAAACAGAATAAAGAACAGGTTTGGTAATTCAATAAAGGTCATTACTCACACATCTCGAAAGTAGTGCTAAATATATATATTCTAATTAAAAATTTTTTTTATAGATTTTAATGGTAACCATAGATGAATGATTTCCATTGTCTCAGTTATAGAAAAATTTCAGTTAAATATATTTAAAAATAACCAAATCAAAGATGTATATAACTATTACAATTATTCTTAATTTAATAGATGCTACATATAAAACTAAAGATTTATAACATCAATTTGTACAATTTGTCAGAAAACAAAGATGTGAATTGAAGTTTATTTATTTATATTTCAGATTAAGATAAACAAAGTTAGATTTTCATGAAACTAATTTTTCTTATATATTTAAACAAATCACGTAGTGTTTAGATTAATTATAAATAAAAAACCGTGACTACACTTGAGTAAATGTGAAAATTCAAATAAACTATTATTACTTTATAATATAATAAAATACTTTAAACAAAATTTTTATTAATATTTAAAAAGTAAAATATTAATTATTATTAATATTATAAAATTATATAGTGAATAATTCAAATATTATTTAATATAAAATATTTATTGATAAAAACATTCATTAAATCATTGAAGTGATATAATACGATTATTTAAATAACATTTAATAAAATATATTTGAATGAACGATTATTACTACAACGCCAAAATCAAAAATATTAATTTTTCATTACAAACTCGCTATATTATTTATTAATATTCATGAAATCTTTTAAATATTTTCGAATGCAATAGTGACGGCAAATGCAAATTTAAATAAGTAATAGTTTAACTCGAAATCTTTATAATTTATAATTATAATATTTAACTATAAAAAAATGGCTTTTCAATTAATTATTCATACATATTTTAAATTCTACTTTACAAGGACATAAACAAAACTTTACAATTTATTTTATCTAACTGAATATTAATTATGATTTATTACATTGAGTACTATCTTACAATGAAGCACTGATGAAAATGCTGTCTTATATATACGAAGTTTAAATTCAAACAAAACACATTTAGAGTTGAGAAACCTATATAGCTACAATTTTTCTCATTTTGTTTTATTAAAACTGTAAAATATTGGTATGAAATTACATTAAAGAACAATAATATGCAAATTTATTATCTTGTAGTTGTATAAAAATTCTTATATAATGTTTATAAATATTATTGAGATGTGCTATCGGAAATACTTTGTCTCCATGTAGCATGAAACGGAATTTTTAAAATCTTTACACGCGTCTTTGGTAACGCAGTTAAAAGTAGTTTTTGTAGATGAGGTAATGGTAATATTTCGACTTGTGGATTACTTATATTTGGTTGTTGTTTATCATCTGTAAAGAATTATAGTATAAATAATCAGTAAATTTACTAATTAAAAATTGCTTACCTTTTTGATTATCTTTTTCTCCCACAATATCTTCTATCAATTTTAAACAAGGAACTGGTTTTAACACTGGAATAGAATCTCCAGTAATTTGCTTGTTCATTTGATTACATTGATCTACGAATAATTCTGTTACTCGTAATAACTCTTGTGTAACACCCCACACAAAATGTGTCAAATTATTCGATAATTCTGTTACACCGCCCAAGATCATATTGTTAGATGTTGCTGATTGAGATACATACGTTGGAATAATTAATAATCTTTTTATTTTCTTGCAATTTGCCAAGCATTTGTCAAAACCATTTTTCACGTCAAAATTAACTAATTCTAATTGAGTCAAGTTTTCTAATTTAGAAATTCCTTCAAGAATATCAAAAGTGCAACAAGAACCTTGACCTTTTTCTAGACGTAGTCGTTCTAAATTTTGTAATTTAATTAATACACCAGTACCAAATTTATCGGGAAAATCCGAACACTCCCCCAGCTCCAACGTTTCTAGATCTCGTAAGGATTGCAAAATTTCAATTTTTTTTTTACCTAAATCTTTTACCGATGTTAAACTCTGAAAAAAAGAAAAGATTATATTTTGTATTATTTATACAACACGTCTATTTCGATATAAATTGTAATAGTTAACATTTAAAAAATATTTCATAAATATTGAAATGAAATTATATGATAAATATATATTTTACGCTTTGTAGCATTTTATGCTTCATCTAAATTATATATAAAGTTTATTAACACTGTATAACTTGAATTTTCCTTTTGTTTATTTCGGCCTAAATAACTTCACTATGTATATTACAAAATTTTATTTAAAAATTTTCTAACATGATTTGATATAAGACCTGTTTTAATGTTAAAAATAAATTAACAGTAACATAAAGGAATTTCCAAAAAGACCTTATGTAATAATTAATTAATGTAAATTTTGAGCATTAAATTATTTTTTTATATTATTTATTATTAATATATAATTTTTTTTTATTATTTTTTTAATTATAAATTTGATAACAATAAATATTTTTAAAAAATTGTAAGTTGTAAAATATAATTTTTCACAAATTTTAAATGAAAAATAATGAAATGCCTAGCATCCCTGTTTCTTTATTCGGGAATTATCGATCTTTTTGGCCACTTAAATCAATTATTCAAGTATAATTAGTATCTCAATAAGTAACATTATGTATATGCTTTGATTAAAATTAGAATATTTCCACAGTATTATCTACTACAGAATTTTACAAATATGCCATATCATTAACGAATCTCAATACCAATAAATGTAAAACAATTATAATCTGTACGTACTTTTTGTATATGATAATGTATATTAATAAAAAAAGATACAAATATAAAATTTTGTACATAAAAGAACATTTTACATATTTCAATAAATCATTTTTAATTTTGTAATTCCAAATATAATTTTAATAAATTACTTTCCTGAAAAACAAAAAACCATGTTAAACAATTGTAAGAAAATATGTATATGTAATATTCAATAAATTTTTATTTTTATGCCTCTTCTTTATACGCACAGTAATGTATAATAATTTGGTTTCTAAATTTTTAGTAGTAAATACCAGCAAATTATGGAAATAAAGAGTAACTGCTTAAAGTACAAATAAATAATTTTGACTGTTTTTGCCTTTTAATACATTGCTTACGCGCTTAACACAATTTAAAATAAATAATAATAAATGAGAATAGTGATTTTAGTTTTTTAGTATTAAATATTGTGGTAATATCTTTCAAGTTTAAAATTTTTTATTCATTTATATTCTACCAACTTGAAATGAGGTAAGATACATTCTAATATAGAAATAAATATTCAATATATGAATGGTGAACATTTACATATTATTAAAAAAATATAATATACTAACACAGAAACATTATTTATATCATAGATCTATCTATAAAATAATTTAGGATAATTAATTCTAACTTATAAATGATAAAATTTGCTCAATGATTATTATTTAATATGAACTTCGGTATTATGCATATTTTACAAATTTAGTTATATACTTTAATGGTATTTCAATTAATTAAAACATTGTAATTGCAATGAGGGGTATATGAATATGTAGTATTTAAATAATAATTTAGTGTTATTATTAACTTACATATAACTAGTATTTAATAGTAATTAAATAGGCTCAAAATAAAAAATTTTCATTATAAAAATCTGTTTTAACGCATGAAAAATTCTACCGTTAATGTATTAGTATAAATAAGTTTATTTTTAAGATACTTACCGTCCCTTTTTATATTTTTTTAACACTTACTGAGTAAAATATTTGAAATTGTATAGAAAATCATATCTAAATTGTTTTGTTCTAATCAAATATTTATTACCATAAAAGTCAGTAAGTCTTACTTAAACCGATTATAAATAAAAGTATTTATGAAATATAAAATTAAACTGTTAAATAAGCAATTATTTTACACATGTAACATTATTTTCTCAATGGCAGTTAGATTATACTTCTTTAAAAAGAATAAAAATATTAATGTTTAAATTAAAATATTAAATTATAACGTACCTCAAATATTTAATATTTCTAAATAAATCATCAGTTTTTATTAAAACAAAAGACAACATTTTATTCCATTTCATTCTAATAAAATTTTTGATATTCTATCATATTAGTTTGAATTCCTACAAATGCTATATCACTATCAATAAATGATTTGATTCTTAATTTCTATTTATTCTTTCATACAAATTTATTTCAAACTTTTATTAGTTTGTTATTCTTCCAAAAAATAAACTATTTCTATTCCTTTGATGTAGAAGAAAAAAATTAATTTGTTAAGAAAGAATTGCTACAAGCAATACTTTTTATTTAATGACGATGAAACTATCATAAATTAAAATTGATAAATTACATAAAAGTATTTGGCTCAAGTATATAAAAGACATAAAGTTGTATAACTCCTTTATAAGCATAAGTATTTTTTATTATGCATTCATTGAAATTAAGATTATCTGTTCAATATTCAAGAATTTCATTATAATTTAATCTTTGTAAGATTATTTATATCTAATATCGTACACTTAAAATAAATTGATAGTATTTAAATATGTTAAGGCATTTTCTTTTCTTTTACTTTTCTATAAAGTATTTAAGCATAAATATTGGTGCTATTGCCCTAATTATTTAAGTGAGAATGTAACTGTTGTATAAATGAATTTATAATAATGAACTAGTAATTTATCAAACAACTTTATACATTTTTTTTTTTGCTACTGTTGACATTATTTAAAAAAATGCGAATTATTTATCACTCAATCTTGTAATAATATTTTTAACTTACACTACTCAGTAGTTTTTATATTTATGAGAAAATTGTAATTACAATGAAGTTACTTAATACAAGATTGACGTGGAAGTATATCTTGTCTTACATAACTACATTTTGCAAATCTTTTTAAAAATAAGACACGTAAATTTTAGTATTAAACAATTTTTCAATGCAAACTATTAACAATATTGTTGTTGCAATTTAAATATGAAACCTTTTAAATTATTTTTAATACTGTAAAAATCTTTGAAATATTAAACATCAATATATGCAAAATTTATTATTCCTTAATATTTCATTCAGCAATTATTAGATTTACATAAACTAACACTATATAAAGAAATAGTATTCAAAGAACATAATGATCATATTGTCAATATAATTTTGTTTATTATTTATATATTTGGACTAAATATTAGCGTGTAAATAAATTATAATTTGATTACTCTAAGTATTATTTTACACTTGTATTGATATACAATAATGTGAACTTATGCACGTTGATTAATTTGATTAGTATACATAACTACTAATATATTTTAAAACAAATTGACTATAAAGCATCCGACTCTCCTTGTTTTTTGGTTTGCATTAATCTTATCGGTTGTTCTAAATTAACTTGGAATGACTATTAGATTTAGAATAATCATTAAGCCAAAAATCTGTATGGAATTTATATGATTATACTTATGCACAGAATACTATAATTTGATCAGAATTATCAATTTCTACATGGGTTTATAAATTTGACATTGACTAAAGATGAATCCATAAATTTTTATTATTAACTTTTCATGACAACTTCTATGAATATCACAAGAAAATGTGGTGTTAGGCTGTTTAAATATGTATGGAAAAAATATATTTATAGATATCAAATATTATCAATTTTTATTTTCCGATTTTCAATTAATAACAAAAGTCTCTTCCTACACATCTGTATATATATATATATATATATATATATATATCAATTTACAATATAAGTACCATTTTAGTCAAAACACATAAAGTTGTTTTAGTTTACATATTTAATTACTAATAATTTTTTATTCATTATATATAATTTAATATAAAACCACTCAATTTATAGAAACTTACCAAATGAGTTATTTTTGACAGATTCAATAAAGGTGTCAAATCTCCTTGTAATGCCATCCCACTTATAGCTTTTAATCTTAATTCACTACAATGACTTAAATTGTTCATGGCTTCCAAATTAAGAGAATCACATTTTATCGACATAGCACTCAAAACTTCTAATTGTGGACAATTTCTCATAACTTCTTCTACAACCACTGCAGGACATCTACATAATTCCAGTTTAAGAAGGCTTGTAACTCTTGGTATTATAGTAATAAATTGTTTCCATATTATATCAGCTTCACCAACAATCAACATTTTTCTTAAATCTAAGTGTTCAGTACCCCGATTTTTCAGAGTTTCTGCTAATCCAGTCCAATCTGTAACTTGGCTATTCTTCATACGTACTGTTTTCCATAATGATGGATGAGCAGCAAGATCTCTCCACATACGACAAACTCTAGCAGCACGAAGTAACTCTTGAACTTTAAGATATTGAAAAATACGGGAAAGAGCATCATATCCAGCACAAACAGACACCATAAAATATTGGCGTTGATCAGTTTCTGGTTGCAATTGTTTTTTCCTGTAATATAGATAATATAGTTTAGTATGATTCACCATCAAAGTTGTCTTGAAATTAGTAATAATAAAGGAATACAGTGAATATTAATTATCTAATTAAAAATTAAATTTTCTGGATCAAGAAAATGTTTAATAACAAATTAATAAGATGCAACTTGTATATTTTTATAAAAGTTAAATTATAATATCCAAATACTCAAAAACAAAATTTTCTAATCTATAGGAAAACTTTAATTGTTTGGATACCTTGGAGTAGGAAAAAATTAAGGAAGATTAGGAGAATGCACAATACTTTTCACCTTGCATATAATTTTATATCTGCAATATAATGTGTTAAAACGAATTAAAATTTTTTAATACAGCACTTATCTGTTGATGAATTCCATACTTATAGATTGAGGTGATTAATAATGTCTCAACATTATATATTTTACCTAAAATTTCATGTTATTATAGCATTCAAAAAAAAATATTATATTAATCTTTTATTTCAAAGAATTAAACTACGATTCAAAGCTGAGTCAATTTGATTTGCTTAAAACTATGAAGCAAATTCATTTTTTGAATTGAAATTTTTTATAGTAATAAATATAATAAGCAATAATATTTAATAATTAAAGACAAAACTAAACACTAATATATTAAATGTCGTAAATACACACACACATCCACACAAATATTTACATGCAATAGGTTTTAAAACTGATTAGAATGTTTATAAGTATTTTAGTTTCACCAATAATAATTTTATACATATGGCTTATTTAAATACAAAATTATTTTATATACTATTAAGTATGTAACAATTTTTAATAAAAAAATATAATTATTGATTTATGTTTGTTAATGTTGATAATAATTATTGACAGAAATACCAAGAAAGAATTTATTAGAACTATTTCAGTTAATATAGCATTACCTAAATTTATTTAATATTTTATTTCATTTTTATTTATATCAAATAAATTATACGCAATTAATAACTCGTCCTTATTTACAGTTGGATTAAAGGCAGATGTTTTTTATATAATTCAATTTCAACTATCCGAATCTATCATTTTCTTTAATACTTTCGTACAGGAAAACATTTAATTACAAAAATGTTTCGAAACATTTTAATCGAAGTTTAGGAGACCAACTTTAATTCTAATCGATAACAAATGGATATTAATTATTACTGATAAATTTTTATCTGTATCATACCAAAATTATTGTAACTCGAAATTCAAATTATTTTTAAAGTTCATTTATTTATTAAAATTATAACGATATACAATATGTACTTTAAAAAATACATATACATTTTTTATTAATTTTAGTATAAAATTGTTCAAAATAAAATCACTGAACAGATTTATTAAATTAGATAATTGGAATTACATAAAATAATATAAGATTATTAATCTTTAAAATACTATTTTACTATAAAATATTTTTTTTCAATTTTATAAAAGATAGTTTTTGTGATAAAATACATATGATAATTGAAGATGAATTAAAATTTTTTTTTAATATTCTAATCTATCCTCTAAAATCATATGTACAGCTAATCATCTAAATTTCGTATAAAAGAGATTAGCCAATTAAAATAAAATTATAATAAATTGTCAACAATATGAAAAACAGAAACGAAAATTTACCTTTTATTTTCAGCAGGTATAAGTAATTTTATTGGATTGTTCTGTCGAGAAGAGGTACATTTTTTATCTGGCGGTGAAACAGTTACAAAACTGTTTTCTAATAGTGTACAAAGCTCAGTATTTGTTTCACTTATATTTGTATTTGATATAGACAATATACTATTAGTTGATGGAAAGAGTTTATGCAATTTTGTTATAGAATTTCGGCAAATAGATTTTTCCAGATCTATTTCTACAGATTTTCTTGTGGCTACTTGTAAATAACTGATATCGTTAGTATTATTTCTATACATATTTTCTATATCAATTTTAGTATTTAAAGGAAGATTTAGCATTTCAATAGCTGTAGACATACTAGATGTCTCGTAACCATCTTGAATGAGTGGTGGCTTATCGCCAATTTTATTATCTTGCCTTAAAGTTATTGTCGGCTGAACTGCCATTGTATTATTTTTTGGTACTACAATATATCTTTTCCCACCCATTAAAGCAATATTTTGAGCTGGTTTAAAAGGGGTAACTTCACGTTTATGTAGAAATTCATTTTCAGTTTGAACACACCAAGAACCTTCTTTTTTTTCGCTTACTTTGGACAAAATATGAGTTTTCATAGATTTAGGAGTTTTAGATACAACTGACTGTAATGGGTATGAACTATCTAATTTTGGAATACGTTGCAATTTTGGAAGTAGTCCTGTTTGATGTATTGATTTACTATTTGGAGTACTTAATACACTGATGGGTATCAGCGGTGGTGGAGTGAGAACTAAGTTTGATTGATTTTTCAGAGAATCGTTTGTTTCTAATTGACAATTCTGTAATACAATCATTAAATTTATAAGGGCGTATAAAAAGATTATTTATATAGAATATATGAGAGGAGTTGAGTTTCAATTGTAACCTTGTTAATTTTAACAAAGTTACCAATATTTTCTCTTACTCCACACATTGCACACGAAACTATTCTAAAATTGTATTCCTTACAATTATGGTAAATGATTTATCTAAAATTTTTTTATAGTTGAAAATCATAATCATACACAAAGCATGTACAATTAGAATACAGTAGCAGAATATGAGAATGAAAACAGCCTCAATCAAATTCACTTTACCATTTATTTATATTCTGTACATCTAATAAAATATTATTCAATATGTTATCTGAACAAACTCTAGAGTATTTAGTAAGATTAAATAGCATAATATATAACTTTGAAAATTAAAATCTTTATATTAAAATAATTTAATTAAACACATTATTTGATTATTAAAGAAAATAAAAATTTTATTAGGTAACCACTAGAGCTCATAAGCAACTTTATAAGTTATCTTTTATACGTATATATATCACATTATTTTTTATTTTGTTCATTCTTAAGTTTTGTTTTTAAAATATACCTTATTTTTAATTTTTTTCATTCTTAAGTTTTATTTTTAAAATATACATTTTTTCGAATGTATCGTTATTTAGTTTATCTTGCAAAATAATTTTTAATATTTATAAAATACATAATTATATTTAGATATAAGTTTTGTACTAGCAAAATTGATAAAACATTGAATACCATATAATAATTAATTTCGAATAGTAATAATACTTTTAATTAATTATCATATTTATGTTTAAATTAATAAAAGTTAATATTTTGTTTAATCTGTAAAATACATGCACATATATTACATACAATATAACAATTATACTTACATATAACTGTCAAAATAGTACATTTTAATTAAATGTAATAATAAACATTATAAGCGGATTATACAGAAAAATGGGAAAACTATAATTTACAAATTCAATTTTTTGTAAATAAATGGAATCTATTTAAAGTAGGCTCTTCAAATATAATACCAATGTAATAACTCTCAATGTAAAAATAACGGAATAGAAAAATTATTACATTAAATGATTTAACTTTCTAAATGATTCTAAGAAAATTTAAGTGATTACGAATTTATATCACAATTTATTCAAGTCTAAAACTCAACTCCTTATATTTATTTTTGAAATAAATAATTTTACAATATATACCTTGCAAATAAATTCGTTATTCCTTACTACTTCATTATTCTCAGTGCATTCAGGATGATATAAGCATAGACAGACACTGCATTGTAAACTGGGTATCAATCCCATACTTGTTGAGCACCTAATACTACATGGTTCTTGAACTTTTGTCCTGAAAGATGTGCATTAACAGGAAAAATAGGACTTTACAGGAATTAAATGGATATATGTCATAATAAATTCGTTTTTAAATAAATTAAAGAACCAACTGGATAGGATATTTTTAGGATAGTACTTTTAATTGACTTTTTCTTGATCCTTGAAACAAGTGATTTTAATTTTGTCATTTGTATTTGGTAATTTTATTATAATCTTTTTATATAATTTATGTATAATATCATGATTGTTTTGCTATTAGAATATTTATCATATGTAAACCATTTCAACTATATGATTTAATCTATTTAGTTTTTAAAAATACAAAATTTGTATATATATATATATATATAATATAAATACTGAAAATATTAATTTAAATAAATTTAAAAATATGCACCAACGTCTTAATCAATTATCTGTACATAAATTTGTATTTATAAAATAAATGCATTATTATATATCGCAATATTTTTATAGTATAACTTACTTGGTTAGTCTTTTAGTTTTCATTGGAGGACTCTTTTCCAATGTCTGCTGACTTCTTTTAGAAGTTGGTAGACTCCATTTAAGCGGAGAAGTAATCTCATGTTCTATAGTAGTAGGTGGTGATTTTATATCTTCTATTAAACATTTTGAGAAAATTAATATAAAAGAAATAATAATAAACATTTATGTATGTTTCAACCCTTACTTTTAAATGAATTTTTCTTAGTTGGTAATTTTACTTTAAAGGATGCAGACGTTTTTATAACTTTTGGAGATGTCTTAATTGATACTGGCGATGATAATTTATCTACTTTTTTTGGTGAAATCCTTTTTATCGGTAATGTTTCCACAGATTTTTTACCGAGCTTTATCATGGATTTATTACCAAAGGAATCCTAAAAATTAAAAATACATTAATCTTGAGAATTTCTTTTTATTTTATTCATTTAACATATTCATGACACATTCACCGACTCTTGATTTTTTAGCATCTCGAATAATTTCTTTATTAGGGTCATTAACACCAAGAGGTTCTTTGAAAAAGGTAAAATTATCAATTGTTAATTTACTTGTTGTTACTGAAACAAAAAATTATTAAAAAATAAACTATTTCAAATTAATATTTAATTATAAAATAATACACTTACAAAATTCAATAACTTCTCGATAACTTCTAACTTTTTTACCCTCAGGTGTATAGTAATAAATATCAGCCATTCGTCTCGTTTGATTTTCTGATGTTCCAGCCCTGTATACTAATTCTCGTTTCCATCCATAGTTAAATGGTTCTCTATACACAGGATTTTTTATATCTACAGAAACCTTTTGACGTGCGGTATTTCCAGGACTTACTCCTCGAGAAGATCGACTTTTTCTTGATTTATTGGAATTTATAGAGACATTGCTATTTACAGATTTTTCTGATTTTAATGAAGATTCATCCGCAGTTATGCTACAAATATCCGATTCAACGATATTTTTCTGATCTTCAGAATCTGTAGTATTTTCATCAGTTTCCTCAATCAAACTATCAGAATTTTTTATATTTTTCCATGGCTGCATTGCAATTTTCCGACGTTTTGATGAATTATTTATTAGTTCTTCTTCAGCTAAAAATAATATATAATTAATAATTTAGTGCAAATGTTTAAATTTAATCATGTAAATAAATTAGTTATATCTTCATTGGTTATTCAAAAAATTTGAATTTAAAATTTTTTTATTTGACATTTTTATATTTTATTTTTTAAATCTTAAAAACATGTATATTTTTTCTCATATTAATACAAAAATTTCTATTATATCGTTTATATTCAACTCGGCATATATAATCTTGCAAAATTTTATTTAGATTTATTAACTTAAACAATTTTTTTATTCAAATGGAGATAATTTATGATTATCATAATAAATTTGTGCATAATTTTATTATATAATATACAAGTTTATTATTTTTTTAATGAAACTTAGTGCTAGTAATTTATAAATATGAATTTGCTGATACAATATTTTGACAGAAATAATTTTATTCATGTAATAATTTGAAAAAAATATTAATGTTAATATATATGTACACAAAAAATTCTTCTAAAAATGATTTAATACCAAGTAATCTATCACTATATAGGTTTTTAGCTAACGCAGAATCATAAAATTATTCTGTTTCTTAAACTATTGATCCACTTTTTAATTAATGAAAATGATCTGTTTTTACGTTTCCTATATTGTAAAATATCAATTTTTATTATATTAGATTTGAATATGAAGTAAAAAAATATTTTAAACACTTTCTCATTGAAAATCATTAGATTACAAAAATTATTATACCCATGCATTTATTTAAGTTAAATGAGTTACTATATAGTATATTTTTAAGTGATGATCATCCAGAAGAACTATTTCTTTGATTAAATTTGAATTATTATACATATGAAAATTAATGAATAAGATCGTAATTATGTTTATTAATGGATTAAACAGTTTTTAATTCATTTATCATGATTGGTTTTCAAACACTTATTAAATAACTTTATACTTAATAATAAATATCAAATAAAATAAAAACAATATTTAATATCATTTAATATAAGTAGTTGTAGGAGGTATTTAAATATAATCATATCTATATGTACCATTTTTTCTACTACATTAAACGTCACTTGTTAAGTATCAGAGTACAAACTACATATAATCAACTAAATATTTTGATTTGTTTACATACTGATTTCGAACGTTTAATAATATATTAATATCTATTTTTTCTACAGCTGAAAATATATCTTAAATAATCTTAGGTAATATAACTTATTACTACACTATTAAACGTACGTACAAGCGTATTCAGAAAATACAATGACGGAATAAATATTTATTTCTATTTTAAATATTTACCGATTAAAACTAATCTAATTTTTTTTTTTATTCGTTATGAACTTCAAAATTTTTATTAGCGAATTTTAAATATTACAAATGACAATTGTTTTTAAAACAACTGTTTTTAATAATATAAGATCAAATTAATTTTTCGAATATAATTACAATTATATACATACATGCTAAATTAAAAATCTATTAAAATTAAGATTTTTCTCAGTTTTAAAATAGAATTTTTACTGTATATATAAAATTTTATAAAAAATTTATTTATAATAAATTGTATCTATGTTTATTATTGTTAATTATGAAGATTAAAATTTTTTTCAATTACTTTGTATTTTTCCGAGTATAAAACACGAATATCAAATACATCAATTTCATTATTATAGATAATAAATATATAAATTTTGAAATTGATTTGATATATTTTATATGTATATATATAGTTTTTTTACAGATTAACTTAGTAATATTTTACGATTCAGATGATTTTATGATTTTTTATAACAAATAAAATATTAACATAATTATATGGGTAATAAATTAGCGTATAGAAATTTAATAAAATGTTCTTTTTTTTATTTATAACTCTAGATATTTCGTATGTATTATGACATTAAATAAAGATTATTTTCTTATAAAAATAGCTAATGCTTTAAATAATTCATGAAAATACTGAAATATTTTATTTATATTTTTATTTATGTATATTATTTAAAAATATAAAGACAATGTTGGCAAAATCATATTAATATTAAATCGAAATAGATTGAAAATTGTAAGCAGTTTTCATAAAGATAATAAAAAAGTATTTTTTAAATAATATTTAATGTTTTAATTTGTTTGTTAGTTTTATTATACCAAAAATAAATAGACACGTTTATTTTGATATAAAACCAATTGGTATTTAATACTATAGTTTTAAAAAGTTTTTGATTTAGAACGTTAAAAGCTGTTTCTTGGTAACTTTTTTTTACATGAAAAACTTTCTAATATTTAGACATGTATAATAATATATATTCAATAATTACATATTATGGACAAAAAAGAATAAGTCATTTAAATTGATATTTCTTTATGTTCAGATTCTACCTAAAGTATATTTTACTATTGAAGATATATCAAATGTAGTAAATTAAATATAATAAAGTGATAATTCAATTAGTTTTTTCACTAATGTGTTTCCCAGTTTGAATAAATGTAATGAAATTTTGGAAGAAAGTGCTTTCACGTTTCGATCGAAAAATATCAACTATTGGCAACTTACAGCAATTTCATTACAATCAGCTATGCTGGTCCATACAGTTGTCTTCAAGTTGTTAAAAATTTTATTATGCTTTATTCGCTAGAATCTACGCGGATTTGAGCATCTTTAGTGATACTTTTTTGACATGAATCAGCCCCCATAATTTGGTCCATGCTTAATTGACGAACATCTTACACTGTTGGTTAATATTTAAATTAATGTATTATTATGTTTATGATTTATATCAGCATTAAAATTGATGTATATACTTCATCGAATCATTACAGCCGTAAAGGTGATAATTTCAATTATTTTAATGCCAGAATACAACTGTTTCGAGTGATGTGCCATAAAGTTGAATCAAAACTATTATCAGAATTTTACGTTTTTCACTTAAACATTTCATTTAAATATTTATTTATATGAATATATTTCTGATCGGATTAAAAAGTACGTAGATGATGTGTGAAATATTCCAATTTATCAGCGATTTCATTTTTATAAATTTACCAGGACCCTCAAGACATAATGTTTCGCCAGTTGAAGAATACTAGTGTAGTATTGACATTATTTTTAATCTTCTAATAACAGAATTTGCATTTTTTTTATTGATAAATCATAATAAATATTTAATATTCTAATAAGTGTCAAAACGACTTAACTCATGCTTGCTTACTTTAAAAGTTATTATCTCGTAGATCTTGGTATGAGCATGCCAGACAAGAATAAATTTTTACATATAATTATGAAAAATACAAAGAGAATCGTGACTGAAAGTACTATTCTGAATCGAAAATTCGTAGAGAACGGACGTTTAATGCTCAATTAAATTGAAAATTAATTTGACAAGCCTGTCAATATATTTATTTTTCGCAGATGAGGGATAAAAACACTATTATCTAATATTGTATAATGATATTCAAACTGTTTTATTTGATCTCAACTTATAATTTAGAAATTACTACAAAAGGATGTCACTACATTTCATAAGCAATATATTATCTGTATCAAGATCAAAGTGACAATACATTTTAATGGTTCTCAATTATAAACTTAATTTCTTTTTAATAATGTATTAAATTTATATTTTATTTTATTATACATCATATATAAATATTAAAGTAGAAAACTTTTTTTAAACGTTTTGTTATAATACAATTGATGAACACAATTTTGATAATAAATCTTTATTTAGGTTAGAGTCAAATCACGTAATTTGTATAAAATTGCCTATTTTAAATAATTTTTAAAGCAATAAAAGATTATGCTATAACTATAAAATTTCTTTTAAAATCTTCAAATAACTTCTTCAAAAATTCATAAAAAATAAAATAAATATATTATGAAATTTTATTACAGTTGCAAATTAAAACTACAATTACTTAAAATTTATCACAACTATTGGATCTTTACATAAACGTTCTTAAATTTTAAAACTTGTTTAATTTTTTTGCAAAATAAGATTTAAATTCTTTAAGTTTTTAATTATTTATTAATTTTCTTTTTGTTAAAGATCTTTTTGAATTTTATAATTAAAAGTACTATTTTATATTGTTACATATAATATATTATTTAAATTGAAAAAAACATAAACATTGAAGTAAATATAAAATAGCAAAAATAGTTGATTTAGTTAAAATAAATTATAAATAGGAAATTTCGTTCCTTCTAATAATATACATTTTTTAATAATATTCAAATAAACACTTTAAAATACATATATATATATATTTTATATTTATGCTTTTTTAATATTTTTATAAGTATGTTACATTTAATGTTGCAACAAAATATTTTGAATATTTCTTAAAACATAAAGAAGAGATTTCCCTCTTCACCTCACCCACATTATTTGAAAAAACTACATATGATAAATATAAAATAGAAATTAAGATTTATTTTCAGATTTGAATTTCCATTAAATATTCATTTTTTGGAAATGTATTCTATATTTTTAAACTGAACCCAATTTCGAAATGAATTACTGTGTTTTAAAAATATTTTTTCTTGTTTTCTACATTTTAATTAGTATATAATTAAACAAAAACAAATCAGGTATTAGATTTGAAATGATTAGTTTGAAAAAAGTATCAAGTTGAATAATCAGAATTTATACATACTGGTCAGGCAATTAATTCAAAGTTTCATTTAAAAATGACTAAGATTTATAATAATTATCTATGTTAATTTATATACTTGCAAATTAAACAAAAATGAAAATAAATTATATAATTATGAACTTTATTTTTACACCATATTATTTTGAAAATAATTCTAATTATTTGAATCTTAAACTTTATTCCAAATACCAAAAAAAAAAAATTAAAAAAAAAAAGTAAAAACCTATATAAAGTAATATCTATTTAATTTCAAACAAACAATTAAAAAATAATTAGTTTAAACATTATTAAAAGTTTTTAAGTATAATTAAAAATTAATAGTCTATTAATATTTTAATTTTTGTAATAATGATTTGTAATAAATCCAATTTATTATCATTATATGTTATTTATAAATGTTTATTAAATTATTTATTAATTTTAATTAATGTATAATAAAACTTATGATAAAAAATACTTTGTTTTATATATTCCAATGAATTAAATTATGTTTTTTAAAATAAGATTTCAGTTAATATCAATTTCTTTAGAATTATTTTGTGCTTCACTAACAATTCTTGTTTATATTAATTTTTGAAATATTTGAATATGTATGATACAGTTGATCAATATCATTGACCTTTTATATTATTGGTTTAAGTTCCCAATAATTATATTTCATTAACTAATATTTTATAAGCTTCTAATTAAGTTTTATAAAATAATAACATTAGTTAAAATAATATATATTAAAATATTTAAATATTTAATAAATTTATAAAATTATATATCAATGAGACATAAGATAAATTTTAATTATAATAGACTAACATTCGCATAATTAATAATTAAATAAATTTCATTTCATGTAAACAAGATCGGATATATTGATATTTTTAACCCATTTTGTACAATTTTGTCTGTTAATCATAATTACTGAAATTAAAATATAATTATGTTATACTGTAATTAAAAAAGAATTTGCAGTTCATTACATTTTAAAATATTCATTAAAAAATGAATTTTACAAACATTATAAATTATAATTTGGCTACATAACTACATTTAAGATTATAAATATACATTATACAAAATGTAACTAACAAATTTGTTTAGTCATTCATAAAAATATTGAAATAAATTAATATACAAAAATCACAAAGTACAGGAATTTATTTTAAACAACCTTATAAATATTAATATTAATTCTTGTACTTATATATATACTATACTAATCAATAACAACTCTTGTACTAATGACTTTTCGTAAACAAATTGTTACTTTAAGCTATAAGTAATATTTAAAATAGATTATATTGAAATAATTAAAACAAAATAATTTTTTACCAATGAGTTTCTTGAGAATAATGCTGCCAGATTCAAAAATTTCTGGATCTTTAAGATCAAAGCCATTGAAATCTTCAGTTTCATCTGAACTAACATCATCAGTATCAGAGGTCTTTTTTTTATTTAATTTTGGAGATAGTGATACCAGTAATGGTTTGTAAGAATCCTCTGTACTGCTAGGATTAGTTTTGAATTTCCGTAATTTCCTTTTTGTTGAAGGAGAAATATTTTTCTTTATTTGTAATAGTTTAAAATCACCATTTATTTCTTCGTTAATGAGTTTCTCTTGTTCCAAACATTGCTTCTCCGACGTTTCCGATACTATAACATTTTCGAGGTTAGAATCTCCGCGCGTTATTTGGCCATTCCCGCCATTAAAGTCGAAAGCATCCATTATGCTTTATTTGGCACCTAAAATTTTATTATAAAATGAAGTAAAATAACTTTTAATGAAACACTGAATAAAAACTATATAATATTTAATGTTTTTAGATAAAAATAACTTAATTAATATTCATACCAACAGTAAGACAGAAATAGGAATTATGTTCTGAATTACAAGGAAAATCAGATCTTGATGCAAGCAAACTTATGGAAGAATGAGAAAGCGGACTCTCGTGCGCGAGCACAATAAAATATTGCTCCGTTTTCGACACACAAATATGTTATTATATGATTACTATTCGTTACTTGTACATTTCCTGAAATTTGAATAGCCAACAACCGAATTAAGTATATATATTTCTTATTTATTTGTGTAACACAATATAGTTAATGAATGTTCGCACAAACTAACAAAAGCAATCATTTTGAAAATCTTGTTTATATTATCTAAAGAAATGGTATGTCTCTATTTAGATTTACCGATTTATCAAAAACTACACTTTTTTTCTCTTTTTTCTTTATATATTATCATAAGGGCATTGTATAAACAAAGACAATATACATAGCCATTACACTTTTGTAACAGTTGATCTTTTAATACTTATTTGTCTTAACGGAACAGGACCGGAAGTTTTAATTGGTTGTTTCAAATTCATCTGTTAATAGTCTTTCTTTCTCATTGAGACATTAAATTTATGAATATAATAGAAACAACTCTATTATGAAAGAATATAAGTTATAATACTTATTTGTCTTAACGGAATAGAACCAGAAGTTTTAATTGGTTGTTTCAAATTCATCTGTTAACAATCTTTCTTTCTCATTGAACATTAAACTTAGGAATATAATAGAAACAACTCTATTACGAAAGAATATAAGTAAGCTTAACACCACGTACTATAAAAAAAGTGATATGTTTAATGTATAATTCAAATAATTTTGTTTTAAATATTAAATTCTTTTTATTTAACTTTAAAACGTAGCGTTTTTGTATCTATTTTTATGAGCGTCCCCGCTGGCTTCTATTGAATGGTGAAAATATTCTGAAATATTCTTGACAAAACTGCCTTCTCTATAGCTAAATTACAAATGTCGTTAGAAAATAAATTACATTACAAGTTATTTTTAAATTAAATTACAAGTAATTGTTAATCAATGTATAATTTATTAAATGGTATAATTTTCTTAATTTAATTTTTCCGTTAATTGATCCAACATTTGATAAAAAAATTCTAGTACCAACATCTTTATTTAAATTCAGTGCACATGCGTAATTGACTTCTGTTCCAATTAGTAAGAAAATTAAATATATATATTACTATATTAGTTTTATATTATACATTATACGTTTTTGACTGTAATAAATGTAATAATTTTTTTAGCTTGTATATTAGTTTTTACATACTCCCTAATAATATGAAAGAATTAATATTTTTGATATACAAGTACGTGTTTACAAAATATACTATAATTTGAGTTATTAAAAAAATATTGTTAAAGATTATTTTTCAGACATTTATCCATATATAATATTTATTATTTTAAAAAAACGGATATAGTTCTACAGTTAATAAGATAAAATTATTATTAGCAAAGTTGTTGATATAATTATGCAAAAAAACTATTGATGCAGGAACACTTTGAATGAATTGTATTATATTTTTTTTTATTTTTACATGTATTATTATATACTATTATACTTTTTGAAATAATTATTTATACATATATACAATCATTTTCTGTTTAACTTGATGTCATTATTGTAAGAACTAGAAATTTAAATAGAATTTTTTTCAATCATAATTAATCATGGTAGTTTATTAAAAAAATGTAATCAAATATTTTTTATTTTGGATTGGCGTAGATAACTGTTCTTACAATTTTTAACGTTATTTACATATAAGACATTAAAAAAAAATTTTTTATTATAAAAGAAGCAAATTTTATTCAAATAAAATTACCACCAATAATACATATATAATTATAAACGAACTGCAACATTTAAAACGATAAAAAAATGCATATTCAAATAACAAAAATGAAATAAAATTTTATTGCCAATAATTGGTATATTTGATTACAAATTCCGCATATAACTTTATCGAAATAAGCACTGAAGCATTTATAGAATTTTTTAAATGCAGTTTTATAAAACTTTATTAATCTAATATGTACTACATGGTTTCCTCATATATACACAAACAGTATTATTCACACGATTAACAAATATTCGTTTATCGATTATTATATTTCCCGGAAGTTCTTCGAAATTTGTCGTATGGTTTTGGTTTTCACTATTCAACGAGAGTTCAATATTCATCGTAATGTTTTTAAAATACACCGTTTTTTAAAAATAATTTAGCTCTAGGGTATAGTAATTGTTTGATATATTGACAATTAAAGTACCATGTTAAAAATATGAAAGAATTGGAGATTTTCATGGTAACGACATTTGAAAATTTGTAGTTCTGCAAATATTGAAATATAAATAATCAGCTGAAATTTATAATCATATATAAGTACAAAAATTGACTAGCTTTAAATAAATATTAATTTATATGTTTTTCTTTAGAGAAAGATTGTAAATAAAAAATAAGTAATAAAGTGTTAATAAAAAGGTAAGCTACGATAATATCATGCATGTTTATTTTCTTTTATGTAATGCATAGTAACTTGAAAGGTGAAAAAAATAAGGTAGATACGAAATTGTGAGGTAAAAAATATATAATAATATTAAGGTTATTTAATTATCAATTAAAAAGGACTTCTTACTATTGAAGCAGTCATTAGTTTTCAGTTATCGTTAATGGACTATTTTACTTCCCCGCCCAGTAGTTCAGCACAGTACTTTTTATACATATTTATTTTACTTCTAATTGACTTTTTATTCTTAATTTTATCATATTTCTAAATGATTAAGAAATATCTTAATTATATGTAGGAATCTGAGGTCCATTTGTCTATGATTTATTATTTGATTATTATCTAAAAAATTTACCATACTTCCTGTCAAAAGTCGTAGTAAATACTTGAATTTAACATGATTAAGTGCAACAATAAATCAATTCTGTAGAAACATTCATTCTTGAGTACTAAAAATTTAATAATTCTTAAGCCAGTGTAAGCCACAATGTTACGGATTGAAGCAGTTAAAAGCGGAATACAAAAGTGGGAGAGATATAAACACCTGGACATTTACGTTATAAACACAATTCAGCGAATTCGGGAAATTTCACTACGTAGAATACTCGAATATTAGATTCTAATTGCCGCTGAACAGCAATTGAATAGCAATTGAATAGCAATGCCGATGAACTCTGCAACGCTATATCCTAGTGACGTCACCATAATGATCGGCATAGTAACAGACACCGGTGCGCTGTTGGCACTTTAAGCTCGTATGAGAATATTTAAGAGTAGCGCTTAATACGCATCGGCGTAGTGCAAAATAATAATCATACAGTCTCCACGACGGGCTCACTATTCGACCTACAAGCGGTAACTCTACAAGCATCATTTACTGCAGCTGTTCACGCACATAGAGCATCAAGCAATTCAGGGAACCAATAGTGGGAACCAATAAGAAACCAATAAGCTCTCATGCCCATGTAAGCAACGCTCACGACAGTTCCTTACAACCACACCTATACCGGTTCTCATGCCCACTAATACAGGCTCTCACGACTATGTAAGCAGCAATACGACACAGCTGCTCTGTACCGCTACTTGAACGGCAGCGGCACTCATGCTCACACAAGAGGCTAAGGCAACATCGTCTCACTCTCCCTTCCAGTGCGCGTTTACTACTACAGTGACTCGTCTTGTAAGGAGAAGGGATCGCGGCCCACCCTACCGAGAGTACACATACTCTCACCATCACGTAAATCAATTAAATTAACTTCACCGCATAATTCACTCACGCTATCCATTCATATGCTTATGACCATTAACTAATTGTTATATTTATTATATTTAATAAAGGGAAAGACTTTAAACACTATAAGCAGTACTGAATAATTGCATTGCCCCTTCCACTTGCCAGCAGCTCCTCCACCCACCATCAAAGGGAGGTTTTTAGCCTGATCACAGACACACAATATTTTTAAATACTTTTTAACACACCTCTATTTATATTTACGGCTGAGTCATCAATATGGTTACTATTGTTTTAGATGGAATTTCTGATATTTTATTATTTTCTTAGACTCTAATTATCCACACTTATAATGCTGTTTTTGATAGAGACATCAATATTCACATTCACTGCTGGTATTGCGTTGACTATAAATCCAGTTGCTAACCGTTGTTAATATAATGAATGCAAGAAAGTGTTAAAAACTGTTGTATGTTATTATTACTAGTTTAACCATATACACGTTTTCCAGCGAGGTGTAGAAAAATTAATGAAAATTTTATTGATTAAAAATTGTAAAATATTTTTTATACAAGAGTTAATGGATATCAATCGTAAATAAAAGCCTCCAATTTAGGAATCCCTAATAGGATAAAATATCAATTTCCAGTGGTTATTGTCCAATCTTAATTGTCAGCATACTATACGGAATAACGAGAATTATGAATTATGGAGTAATATTTGTAGAGATATATGTCTTGGCATGATTATTGTCAACCAAGTATAGTAACCAAGCAAACTCTTATTATAAAAATTCTGATTTAAATAATTCTATTGATAGTTGGAGATACCTACCCAAATCGGGCAAATGATTAAACTTAGAGCAACGTACAATATCTCCAATATCTCTTCATTTTGAGGGAATAATATAAGGATAGATTAAAACAAGACCGCTACAATGCGTTTATTTGAAGCGTTAAATTGTTTAAATATTTCCTCATATTATAAATTGCGTAACGGAATGAGAACTGAACTAGCAGCAATAAGTAAAAAATTCCTGCATTATTGGATATAAATGAAATTTAATGTAATATACATTATTAGTAAACCATATATTATTCATAACCTAAAATTCAATCTTTTATGTTAAGAGATGGTTTACGTTACTAATCTTTTAATGTGTCCAGCAAGGTATATATTCTACTGATTACAGTTCGTTTCAATTTAATGCTCTGTTTAATTATGGTATTTGTTTGTAAATATTAACCGACATTAATCGACGCTAACCGTAGACAATAAGTCTTTTTCTAATATATTCTGGAAGTTTTTTTTTTCGTATGCATTACTAGGTATAATCCTAGATCAAATAATTGTTAATTTCACTAGAATAATAATCTTGTGTCCGACAACTGGTCGACTTATATACAAACGCTGTTTCATTCAATATAATATTTACTAATTGAGACAAATTCTTTAAGTTTTCTCTTTACAGGTATTGGGCTACCAAGTAATTTTAAACTAACTGGTGTTATTGTTAAAATCATATCGTCCATGAAGTTATGATCAATCATCAATTGTCTATCAAGGATAGTAGATTTAATAATAATAATAATTATTATAATATAATTATTTATAAATTATTGATTAATTAATTTTGTGTTTATTAATTGACTACAATTTAATTGCATGTTACAGTATAAATTTTAATATTTTAAATTATCATTGAAAATAATTATATATTCATATTTAAATTTTTTTATTTCAAAAAGATCTAATGAACATAATTTTAATTTAGATGTAATATATTCCTTCACTAATGCTTAGTATTTATGTGACAAATGAGATATTTAGCAGTCTTCTAATTCTGATTTAGTTGGACCATTTCAATATTTTTAAAAACTTTTAAACATTTTAACATATTTTAAAAAATAATTTTAAACTTATATCTATATTTATAATTCTATACTTGTTTAAACAATTATAAATTTTTTCGTTTATATTTATTATATATATTTACAGTAACAGGAATTAAATTTGATGATTCAGAAAATATGTCTATTGTATTAATATATTTTTAAATAAATATTAATATAATATAATATAAAATTATGTCAAATAAGCGTAATTATATCTTATCTTCTAATTTTATTTTTATGTATAAATGACAAAGTAGAACAGTAAAAATTACAATATTCTAATTATATAAATATGCACAAAACAGATTTGATGTTTACTTTAAAATATTAAAGTTTGTTATAAATTTCATACATCAATAGGGTAGATATAGTTAATTTTATATCAACTTCCGCAACTAATCATCCCACTATATCAAGAAATTTCTGCTCAAATTTACATATATTCTATGTATATAATTAGTTTAAAATGAAGATTATATTAATAGAATATAAAACATAAGTTTAAAAATAAAGTAAAGGGAATTGCATATATATATATATATATATATATAATATTTATTATATAAACATGTAACATTTATTTCCTTTCTTATAAGTTTTTATAACATCATAATAGAAGCTACATATATTGTATTTATATTACAATTAATTTTGAAATTTTCCTCTGTAATACGGTACATACTGTAGAATAAGTTTCCAATCAGTAAAATATAGAAGAGCCAAACCTGCACCAGATCCATATGTGATAGCTGATGGCATCCTGTAACAAAATAATATTCGAACATATTCACATACGAATAACAATTTCCAACATATTTCAAATAAATTATTCAACTACATTGGTTTTTTAGGATACATATTAAAATGGAAAAAAAGACAGATTCATACATTACAATTTTTTGAACTAGTAGTATTAAATATATTATGAGCAAAATTAGAAAAATAATAAAAAATTTAAAGAAAAGAAATTGCAGTAAAAAAAGAAAGTGAAAAATAATATGGGGTAGAATAAATCAATACGTAAGAATTGTAAAATTATATACGTACAAAAGCATGATATATAATAATGTAGAGCAAATTTATTTATTAATATAATTTTGAAAATTTGAATATTTAATATAACTTAAGTTCCCTGTTAAAAAATATTTTTAATAAAAATTATTATTTGACTTTTATTTAAGTAAATTTATAATAATTATTTATTATTGAAAAACAAGTTAAAGATCACAATAAATTTAATTTGCAGTAAAACTGAACATATGATTTATAAATGAAATCAAATTTAATAAATACTTTTATATTTAAATATTAATGTAACTAATTAAGTCTTATTGCAACAATTTTGTCGACACATTTATATATGAATATATTCACTGTTTATATACATTTAAATATTTAAAATTATTTAATACTTTTTCAACTATTCTCAAACTTACCATTTAAGGGCTAATTCGAAATGCTTTTTACCTAATTTTTTTCCTGGCATCACGTAATAAACTCGTAGAATTATAAATAAAATTATAAATTTAATAAGATCAAAATTTTTTATGAATCGGAATATAATATATTAATTTTTTTTAAACAGCTACTGAATTCATTTAAAATAATAAAGTACCGTAAATAATTCTTTTATATATTATATAATAAACTATTTATTTATGACGAATGATGCTAAACCTTGCGTAATTTTGTTTACAATTCACTGCCACATAAGTATCAGAGCCGTAGAGGTCCATAGATAGTTTGAAAATCGAGCTTTATGTACATATATATATATATATATAGATAAATAGATAGTGAGATAATATTTGAAAACAGGGCGCTTAAAAAATTAATAAACGATACGTTATTTATTAGGGAAGAAATATATTTGTTATTTGTATTAAATTTGTAATATAAAATATTACAATTTTAACTCATTTAATAAATTAAAATGCTGAAAATGAATAAAATTAAAGAAATATATAGAACAAAAATGTTTTTAAATATTTTATTCAAGTCTAAAACTTTACATAATTTGCACATTGTTTTATCTTCGCTATTATTTATAAATGAAAGTAAATGTTTTCTTAAAATAATACACCTCTGTAATTCGTTTAAAACTACAAATTCCATCAGCCACCAGTCAATAACCTTAAACCTCAAAGTTAGTAATATTCATAATCATACGCAATAAATTTATTTGTTAATTTATGCCCACTTTGATAATCAAAAATTATTGCATTGTTACAATATATTGTAACAATGTAACAACAACAATTGCTTGATTAAAATACTAATTTATGCATTAAGAATATATTCAATTACAACTTGATATTTAAATATCAAAGACACAGCGAAATAAATCTTTGTCCTTCCAAAAATAAGCGTTGTTTAAATAAAAAAATATGTTACTTGGTAATAACTATATACTTATTATTAGAGAAGGTAATAGCAGTGTAACAGCCCACTATTAAAAGAAGATATGAAAAAATGGTATCAACAATGGGGTATGAAAATATGGAAATAAGCCAATTTGGTAGAATAAATTTATCATAAGGAAGTGGCAAGATTTCATTTAGGCAAATATCTAGCCGAAATAGCTAGTTTATAAAAAATTATATTTGTGTGTTTGTGTCTGTGTATGCATAACTTTTTATATTTATAAAAACTAAATAACATTTTTAAATTACATGTGAACTATTTCAAATCGAATGATATTATGATTTGCCTTAATGAGAAAATTTATCGTGTTTATTATATAATAAATAATTATAAATATATAATTATATGCTATGTAGAAGCAAAGAAAATGCAAGTACTGATTAAAAGTAGTAATTAAATTGTACATCGATATTTAAATAACATGATATTTTATTTGATAAGATATATAAATTTAAGAGAAGAAATATAATGACGAAAAACATAATATTTTTTATTATATAAAAAATAATATTAAAAAAAATTCCAATGAAATTTTAGTATTTATAATTTTTGTGAATTTTTGAGATTTTATAGATAAGACTTTATTGTTATAGCAAATTTTACAGTTTATCAGTAAATATATTAATTTTAACAATTAAATAAAAATCTGTACCTCGAATATTTCAGAATAAAAACATTTCATTTTCTTGTTTCTTTATATGTATAATGCTTTAAGTAAATATTTAGATTGATCTGAAAACTATTATCTATTTAATTTTTCCTGTATAAATGTATATTAATAAAATGTCAAAGATGTTAGAAAAATATATCCAATATTGTAATAAATTAAAAGATGAATTAGAAAACCTATGCTAAGGAAATTAATTAAAGTAGTGTCGATCATTCAATTCTAAGACTAATTTGTATTTGACCATTTAAAATATTGTAAAGTATCAAAAACATTGTATTTAAATATTGTATGTAGGCTAATTTTCAATTTAATATATTTGGTGGTAATGGAGATTATATTACTCCAGCGCTTTACCTAATATACATTATAATAGAAAATGACAATCACATATATTATAACAATTATCTTTGTAGTAATAATTCTTGGTTATAGTAGTATAGTTAAAAAGATATTTAGCACATATTTATTTCAGAAATGACTGAACATGGAATACTTTTAATGATGAAGTACACAACCATCATTTTTTCATGAATCTTAAACAATTTAATAATAGTTTTATTTATTAAATTAAATGCAACACTAAAATAGTTTATTTATTTCTTATCATTTATTAATATCATCTCTAGACAATTTAATTTAAAGAATTATATACTTACTGAATATGAATAAAATTAATTTCGTTCACATTAAATATATATATATAAATTGAAAAGTTGGTTCACTATATAAGGCAAATATACAAATTTAAAGCTATTATTTAGTTTATGGCATAAAGTCATATACTCATTTAATGTATTTCTTTGCAACACCCTTCAGAAATAGTAAATTACAATCTAAAATTTTTTAATAGATAATATGTTAATGCTTGTAACTTAAATATCATTTATGTAGAAAAAAAGAAAATTTGAGTATGGAAAAATTATTATTTATGAAACACCAAGAGCAGTAAGTGGTTGAAAATCTTATCTTAATATTAAATACTGAAGTATTTAAAGCCAATTAAAATGCAATGGTAAAACCAATCATTAGTAAACAGATTAGTTTTTCGAATTAACAAGGGTTGATTTTGTAGCAAATATATATTGACAACAACTGAAAAAATGACAAAATGAATAATAACTCGTAGATGTTATTACCATTTATTATTTGGCTCTTTCACTGTCATAATTAAAATGAAGTAAGTTTTATTACTGATTAACTACATACCAATGTTGTATACAAGAATTTCAACTGAGTCGATATTTGAATTTTAACAAACAAATTTGTTTAATGTATTTGTTGCCGTTATTAGATTTTATAAATATTTATTTAGAACTATTTTCAGAATATGATAATGACAAAGATGTTCAAAATATAAAAACAGTATGGTATATATTTAAAAATATATATAGAAATATGTAGAATCAACAGAAAAATATTTAAAATAAAATATAAAAACTTATTTAATAATTACACAAGAAATAAATTATAATGTATTATGTTTAATTTGTAGACATATGTGCACAAGTATGTTTTATATTCTCGATTGCTTGTTGAATGTATATATATATATATATTATATATACTTATACATATATTGTTAATATACTAGTATAATGTAAAAACGAAATAAAATATAAATATTATATATTTTTAATTTTTCTAAAATTTATAATGTATATTAATAAATTTTATTAATTATGTTTATAACTGCATTAAAAAGAAGGTCGCCATTTTGATGCTAAGTGTTTATTCTCTTTTATGTGGGCTTTACTTTCTTCTTCCTCAAGTTGTATCTGTAATAAAATATGTTAATTTAATAAAATATTTTATTCATATCAATTTAGTATCTGGAGTTATTAAAACTATCAATAAATTTACTTAAATATAAAATCCATCAGTTAATCTGGTAAAGTCAATTTTATATACAGAGAACTAAAATTCAATCTAAATTCATAATTAACTAAGCGATTTGAACAGATATAATAATAAACGATTACTATAATTTTTTATCACTATATTTTGAATTTAGATTAAGTCATTTTTAAAATTAATTAAAGTTATATATATAGAAGTTAAATAATATAGTTTTATGAGCCTAGAATGGTTTTTAATTTAATTATTTATTAATAAATTAAATGCTGTTATAAACATAAATTATTCTAATGATATTCAATTTGTTTTATATAATTTATTACTATAATTTTTTCATATTTTATAATTTTCGGTTTGAAATAATTCTAATAGTTTTTTGCTAACGCTTATTATATATATTGTTATGACCGATGTAGTGTGTTTTTAAAATTATAAGCTTTACAATTAATTAAAAGTATATTTAGAAGAAAAGTATAAAATCATTTCGAGAAAGTTCAATGCCAAACCTTACACATACGCAAGTTGACATATGTATATATATATATTCTTGAGTTTTCACATTTTTATTATCATTCATCAATCGTTTCCTCTCTTATTTTCCTTTCACAATGCTAATATTGAATGTAAATATATAAAATGTTAGAGAAACAATACTGATGCATAGTGATAATCATGATAAAAATAACTTAAAAGGAGTTAGTATGTCAATACAACAAATAATGGTTTAATTTTACTTAAATTAAATAAATTGTACATACTCTAGAATATTTTTAATAATTCAAATATAGCTTATTTCACTTTTTTTAATTTAAATTACTTCATGAAAATCCAATTAAAAACATAAACAATTAAACAATAGTATTTACACAAAGTTTTGAGGCAGTAAAAAACAAGGAAGGATAATTCTAACTTGCAACATTTATACTTAACAGATTGCAATTAATAAATTAGGATTTTCTGGTTTTCAGTTAAAAATTCAGAAACCGATTAGTATTATCAACAAGAAGTGTTAATTTAAAAATAAATTTTCAATAAATATATATGTAAGTATTTATATTATACATGAATTCCAATAGTATCTACGAATTACATATTCTATGAATATACAAATATATGAAGCATTTTATTATTTTGTGTATTAATTCATTATACATACCAATAATTTTCTTTGATTTTCTCTGAATGTTTCCAAAGGGTTATCAAACTGACGATAGTAGTTTATGACATCTCGTATATCATCTACATTGGTTTCATATATTGCTGTAAAAAATACAATAACTTGTTGATACGTATACTAAAATTTATTTACTTTTCAAAATTTAGTAATTATATTTATGTGAATTTTACTATTTGCTTCTTAACTATATAATTATACGTATACAAATAATTTTTTTTCAAAACAAATCTGCAGTCATGATAAATTTCATTACAAAAATTAGGAATTTTGTATTCTTGTATATTCTAATAATAAACTATCATATTATAAAAAAATAGCTTTTAAAATCATAGTTTACATCAAGATTATCCTACTTTTAAGAAATGATGCTAAATCATATAAAGTCGTATCATTATCACTTCCATTCCAGCGTGGTATCTTCAACATATTTTCAGGATGGAACTTTACACTTTCTGAATTCCAATCGATTACAATAACCTGTAAATCATAATTCATTTAAATGTAAATAAAATATTTTCGTTTGCAAAATATGTATTTCACTGTATTAGGAAAATTAAATACATTTTAAATGATATATAAAACAAGATTATAAAGTATAATTCGTGAAATGAAAATTATTGTTTCTATGTAAGATACATATCCAGTCTACTTTCCATTTTCAACAATTTTATTCAATAATTTAAAATAATTTGATTAAATAAGCAAGAAATTGTTAATAATCTATATACTATTCGTAAGGTTCATCAGTAAGGTTGTATCTTTAGTTTTTTTTTTATTATAAAAGATAAGATAAATTGTGACAACAGTTAAGCTCATATTTGCAGTACTAATTCAAATATACCTAATAACAAAATTAACAAAATTTGTATAGTTTCTAAATAACATAAAATTATAAAATAAATCTTTTTAAATAGATGCTCTTTTAACAATTTGACCTTATATTGAATTCAAAATTTATTTAAATTTAAGGACAATATTATTACATATTTAATAATATATAATTTAGAAAAATTGCAACTAATCGAATTACAAAGCGAAATGTAAAATTTTCTTTGAGAACAAAAAAATCCTTAGATGTTTATTTGAAACATATTCAAAGATAATTGAATTTATTTTATATAGTTGATATTATATTTCACGTTATTATTAATATTTGTGTTGTAATTTGCAAGGAGTTTATATTTAATACTTAATATATTTGAGACATATTTCCTGTAATAATATTTATTCACGTAATTTTGGAACTATTAAAGGATAGTATTAACAAAAATCAAATGTTTACTTACTTTTCTAAGATCTCTATTAAGAGCATCCAAATCTTTTACATGATGTCCATCGACAAATCGTGTTGCATCTCGAACAAGTCTATACATAATACATCCTTGTGAGTCAAGTGCATCCAAAATAGGAAATACAGTCTATAAATTAGAATAATTATAAAATAAATCAAATTAAATTATAGATTTATTATTTGTTCAATTATTATGTAAAATATGATGTTGACTTTATTTAATTTAATAGTTTAATGAAAATCCAAATATTATATAAAAGATTGTTTTAATAAAACTGCACTAATTCAGGTAGTGAAGAAAATATAAGATTGTCTATTTTCATTGACAATTTTTAAATTTTGCGTTGAAATGGTAAGACTTGAAAATAGTAACAGGAGTTATAAAATTTAATCATATAAACTAATGTTAGTACTTATTTTATTTCTTTTATTTTTATTTATATCAGGCGAACTATAAAGCATGTAAATAATATAAATCTTCATATAAATCTTCTCCAGTATTAATAAATAAGTAAATAAAAAATATTGAATCACAATTTTTATGTTATTCGAATTTAAATAACTATTAAATGTTATATTAATATTAAAAACATAATTTCGAATATTTCTTTTTGTGTACTAATCAAGTGCTACTTTAATTAGTACATGATATAAATACATATTTGTTATTACAAAAAATTAAGGATTATTCTATTTAAATTTCACATTGTAATTATCTATCATATTTTAAGGAAATATTTCCTAGTAGTTTCAATAAAATAATTTTAATTTTTAAATATAAAGAAAATATCAATAAAAAATAAAATTTTCATTTTACAAAAATTTCATTTCAATAAATTAATTATTATGTTTAAAATGCTCAAAATTTATAAACACTTATAACACTATATAACATTTGTTTAAAAATAAAAACAAGATTTAGTCAATAGAACATATTTACTTTTTGGTATTTAGATAATCATTATAGAATTAAATTTGCTTACCAAAAAAATTCTATGTAGCTCATTATTTACTTCTGTTCAAATTGTTAATTCAAGATTAGTATAAACAATATAATTATCCTTAAATTGTATTATAAATTTTGAATAATATTAAATATTTTTGTATGGCTGTGAAAAATACATTCTAGATAATTATTTCTTTTAATCTTACATTATTGTAATCTTCCATAAATTGCCAAGTTTGTATACTATATGTTAATATGTTATTAAAAAAGGTTAATAAATAAACAATGAACATAGGAAATATGTTATAGTGTTTCGTTAAAATTAATTCAGACTTCAGAGTCCATTTATAGAAATAATTATAAAACTTGATTTTTATTATTAAAAACAAAAAATAATTAAAATTTCCATGAAATGAAAATGACTTATTGCAATATGTAAAGCCAAATAATTAAAATATATTAATTTCACTATTATTTTACCAACCACTTATCGATCATTTATTAATTTTTTTTATTCAAAACTTACCAAACCTTGTTCAGCAGTATAAACAACTGTTTCAAATTGTGGTGGAGCAATTGTTTCAAGAAAATGATCTATTCCAGGACGCTTTTTAAATCGCCATCCAGTTTGGTACTAAAATACAAATTAATAATTGCTATTTGGCTGACCAAAAGAATATACAGCAATTAATTATTTTATTATAATAAGTAACAAGACAATCCAAAATAGAATATGAAATTTTATATTCAATTGTTCTTACAAATATCAAAGATTTTAGATAGCTGATTAAAATGTTAAGATTTAATAATCAAATGTTTTATTTTTAATTTAGTTTTTTTGTAAATTTATAACTAATGCTTTTCTATTTATTTGTATCTATTAGATATTGAATGAAAATATTTATCTCTATAGATGCTACAAAATTAGAAGAATAATAATGTGATAAAATAAAATATTATTTTTAATGCGAGTTAATAAATAAATTTTTCTTTTGTCTCTTTGAATTATCGTTTATTTGAAATATATGTTTTTATACAATTCTCTTGATGACTGTATAAAAATATAATTTCTAACAATAATACTAGACTTCTAAAATACGAGTATTTTAAGCTATTTTTATAAAACTTAATATAAGTTGCCTTAATTTTATTAATGCAATAAATCGAGCAAGAATGGAAGATTCCAAAATTCAATAAACTTTGAATAATTACAATTTTCATTGTTAAATGTATACTTATATTGTTAAATAAAAATAAGAATTTATTATAATTTAATTATATTCATTATTTATTTACAATTTTCTTACCGTCCAGTCAGGATGAACTAAAACATCTGTTAATTCTAATATAATTGTGTAAGGTGGTTGAATGTAGGGATGCTTCAAAGGATCGGGCAGAAGTTTGTCCCTGCTCGGTTCTTGTACTAACTGAAAATAAAGTTTAATATTATATAAATAAAATGTAGATTAAACTAGGTATATCAAAATATTTAATCGCTAAATATAATTATTTTTTAAAGTTTTATTATATTAATATATTTTTTATAATCTCGAAAATTACACGAGTTAAAGTAAATATATCTGCACATGTCAATTATCATATTTTGATTTCATTATTTAAATTATTCTTAATAATCCATTAAATTGATAAAGGTCATAAAACATCCACAAAACTTTCTAATACTACTTGTTTCTTTTTTAAAATAAGAATATTCTAATGCTTTGAAATATTAATTATTATTTCATTATACATCATAATTAAAGATATAATTAATTATATGTTTAATCGCTTTGCATGACAAACATGTATACTACTATTCAGTAATTTAATGGTTACTTTATTTATGTTTGTATTTAAATCCATCTTGAAAATTATAAGTATCTTGAGTTATATTTATTTTTCAATTGTATTTTTTAGTACTACAATAAGTTTATTAATAACTTTTTAATAGAAAAATAACATTGATAACAATAACCTTAGATTCATTAATGAAAGAAAATTAAAATATAATTTAAATATTATTTTTTCTCAAGAATTAATTTTCCTAATGTTAGATGTAACATATAAAATCTATCTATTACAAGCATTGAATTTCAAAACTATAAAACAGAACATTGCAATAAATAGTAAATAATCTTACATTATAATTAATGTGAAATGCTTATGTAATTTAATGTTTTTGTTTATTAATTTTTGCTAGCTATCTTAATGTTTTTTCCTAATATTTCAGTAGGACTTTTTAAATATAACAGAATATGATACAATATTAAATTACTTTAAGATATATAACTTAATTTATAAAAGAATTGTCTATTACATATGAACAGTATACTTAAGATAAGAGTTTATAATATATTCAATCTGTTCAAAAGCTTTAATATCAGAATAAAAATAATTATATTTTCTATATTTCAATGTGACTTATTTTGTTTTATAGAAAAATTAAAAATGTATAGTAAGGTATTTAAGTGTCGTTTAAGCAGTATTAAATAGAGGTTATTTTAAGTTCAATTTAGTTTATAATGTTAATAAGTTCTTTTCTAACCTTTTGATTCCAACTACATTTTATATCATTCACCATTAACACCATCAAATTAATTACATATATTTCTATTTATAATTTATGTAAATATATTTATATAATTTGTGATATATTATACAAAGTTAATTTATATAGCAAAACAAATACTAATCTAAATGTATATGGTTAAAAAATAAATATTCTATATTCATTTTGATTATTACTTTTAATATTTAAAAAAATATGTAATTAGTGTTCACACAATAAATTTTAATATATTACATAATTTTTAGCTCTGTAGTTGTTCTACAAGATTGTATGATTGGATCAATGAATTTAACTGATTTTTCTGTTTAGTCTTTTAACTAAAATTCTAAAAATAAATTAGTATCTGTAACAATTGACAACTTATTCAATAAAAAAATCCATCAAAGAGAAATAATGTACATATAGTATAATTTATTTGTAAGTCAATTAAAGTATAATATACATATAATGATATCTAGTTACAAACTTACATATTTTAAGTATAAATCAACTTAAAAATAATGTTTATGCAAAATATTTTTCCCTTTAACAAATTCTATATTCATTGTTTTTCTTGTAAATAGAAATTTATCTCTTGTTAATAATTAAAACCTAATTACTTTTTTTTAGTGTATTTGAAAATTTTAAATACATTAGACTAAAATGTGTTCTTTTGAAGTTCATAAAAGATATTCCATAAACAAAAAAATTGAAAAATACCATGACTTTTATTGAAGAACTCATTAAAAGTTAGAAAATTTAGTTTCATTAAACTGTTGATAAGGACATAATATAATTTCGTAATTTATGCAATATAGTGTTTCCAGTGTACATGAATGTAATATAAACATTTTTAATTACCTTTTTATAATAAGATAATTCTTTTTTAAATCTATAATATAGCTGTTGAATATAAGGTAAGTCATTGAATTCATCTTGAATTATATTACCATTTTCGTCATAATTAGGTTTACTAATTTCATAAATCAATGATAAGCATGCCATACTAATTGATGCACCAAAAAATATAAGACTATATTTCATCATTTTCCAAGACCATTGTTTCTTTTTTTTTTGTTCAGTTTCTTCATGAATAATACTGGAACTGTCATTAATAGAATTTGAAGTTTTAATTGTACTAAAATATACACGATTTATAAGTGATATTTTCATACGTGATAAGGAGCTTACAGTTTGTGACCAATAGTCTGAAATATGAATACATTATATTATATATTTTATTCGATTATATTTGTTAATTTTATAATTTAAAAAAAAATATTGAATTATTTTGGTATATACTATGCCTCTTATTATTAAAATTAAATTTTATATTCTTAAGATAAAATTTGGTAAGTGTTATTGATTAGTAAAATCTAAACTAATAGATTTTAGATGTGTGATATGTGCAAACAGTTGCAATAGAAGGTATATATTAGATTCATTAATAAATATTTATTGTATGAATATTGGTAATACTTTATAAATGAAATACTTTTTTATATATTTATTAGTATTGCAATATTTTATTTCAGCAGCTACTTTCATCTTATTATTACAACTGATGATTTATTAATCATTGTTCTACATATTAGAAACACAAAATAATATATAATTAAAAAATCATATTCAAATCCAAAGTAAAATAATATGTATGTATAGTGTAAATTATAAAATAAGGTAAAACTTTTAAAAGAAGAAAATACTTTTTAATAATAACTTTTTAATATGGTTTAAGAGTGTACAAAATATATCAAACTATACTTTCTGCTGTTAACTTGAACTATATTAAACAAATTAATATAATATGATATAATATAAACCAATAAATTAAAAAAAAATTAATTTTTCTATAATTTAATATTTGTTTTACTAATTGAAAATAAGTTTCTATTAAAAATTTTTTTGGGATTCTTAAAATAACCGAATCTCAGTATATATCTCTATTTTACTTTACAATCCATAAACATTTATTTAATTTTGCTTTTCTTAGACCTGTAATGTACTGTTATATATTATATTTTATAAAACTTTACAATACCTGTTAACAAGAAGGAATAATAGACAAGGAGTTGAAAATGATGGAATATGAATAAATGTTTATGAATAGCACATAATCAAGGCATATAAATATCCAAATTGTTGTTATAATTCTTTTTAATATTGCTTGGGTTAAACATAGGTATAATACAGTTTCTTTGCATTTAGTCAACCAAGTAACAATTCTGAAAATTGATATTCAAGTATCGCATCCATCACCATCTGTAACCAATTTAATTATAAATACTAAATTTTCATTATATGTACAAGTTTTCTCTTTCCTCTTCAATTTCATTCCTCTACCTGCTTCCCTGCTATGAAGTCAATCAATATACAAGAACTTTGAATAACTTAAAAAAATTGCACATTATACTTAAACCTAATTATATAAGTTCTCTAAATGTAAAATAAATGCAATTACAAAATTATATCTTTTCTCAATCCTTAATATGTGAAAATTGCAATAGGTATCATGAGAAAATTCAAAACATAGTTTTGAATGATTTATATAATATTATTTGATCAATGATGAATACTTTATATAGAATGTTACAAAAACTATCTTAAAATTTTTATATAAAATTAATCGGACACTGTCGAAATAAAATTTATGCACATGTAATATTTAATCACATTACTCAAATTACTATAAATTTATAACCTAGGATTCGCAAATTAATTTCATACACTTTAGTAATAAATAAATAGTAATTATATATGTTTGTAATTTAATGTTACAAATTGATTGAATACACTTTCAATTACTATAATTTATTTTACTTATTAAAAGTTTTAAGACATGTGCTACCATTTACATTCAATTTATATCATTTTATTTTCATTAAAGTGTCCATGAAGATGTAAAATACATATTAAAAGTATAGAACTGTTTTAAAATAATACAAAATTTATAATATAATCAATATAATCAATTGCTTTACTAAATTTTATAAGCAACTCTTTTAGAGATCATGACTTGGAACTTATAATATTAATCTTTTCTTTTTTAAAAAAAAAAGTAATATACTAATTAGGTCGTAATTAAAATTTATATTTAGCATATAATTTATTAACATATTATAATTAAATGTTATCAATAAATAATACCAACTATTAGTATAACAGGAAATATGTGAATAATTAACCAGACGAAAATGTAATCTTGATTTTTGTTGAAGTAGAAATTTGGCAGGTTGTTTCAAATTTTTTATTCCGAATAATATAAAATGAATATTTTTTAATAACATAATTAAAAAATTCTTGTATATCTTTAAATCTTCGTAAAAAACTAAATTCAAACAGTTAAATGTTCACTAATAATTTAATATTTTTATAAAAACATTTAACCTCTAATAAAAATATGATCTTAATTAATTTAAATCTATAATTGTAATATATACAATAAATGCAAGTTCACGAAAACGGTCTAAAATATAATATAAAATGTACGGAAATAATTTAAGTAAATAGTGAAACCACGAAATGGAACGTATCCTTTACCGCATGCGCTTTAGAAGTTTGAGCTTAACATATAAGTTTGAATATGATCTTTTATTGTATCCAACAAAAATTAATAAAATTTGTACATTATTACTTCAAGTAAAGTTAACAAAATTAATTTTTATTAAATTTATTAAAATTGAAATATTATAATTAAAAGTTATGAAAATTAATGAATAATTATTTTTAAGGTGGCAACAAATGTTATATGGTAATAAATTAAATTTTATTTTTAATAAATTATATGTTATATGGTAATACATTAAATAATAAAAGTGAAAAAATTAAAATAAAAATTCGATAATGAACAAATATTAGTCACTTCGAATTTGTTTAAACTCTTTGCAGTATAAAATATATTGAACTATGGTATAAAATAAATGAAGGGTTTAAGCTTATTACTATAAAACATCAACAAACATTTACAATTAAGTGAGAATATTAATGTGCCTTAAATTAAAATATACAGAACGTTAAGATGACAGAGGATATAAATTCGAATACAAAGATAACCAACACTTTATACATACTGTCGTTATTCTATTGATTATTATTTTTATCTGAATAGATACAATAATTGTTTTAACTTAAAACCTAAAAAAAGTAACAAGTACATTAAATAGACAAAACATATTACATAAAATGAGTATATATAATCAGAAATAAGTTAATTTAAGAATAAAAATTATATATATAATGTTAAAGCAAAGTAAAAATAAAATTGATTCTAGTAGCTGTATTAATCAAATAACAAATGAACTATGTAAATGTCAAATATAATTATAAAATAAAAATTATATGAAAGAAATTATAATGCGACAATCATAATAAAAAGAACATGGATCAAAATTAAATGGAAATATTAAATTCTGATTTTGGAATAAATTAAATAATTATGCAAATTTTAAAATTAAAATTATTACTGTTGAAGTTATTATTTTAAAAACTTGAATATATAACGAATATTTAATTAAGTTTTTTTAGTATAATTTTAGTTAAGAAAAAATATATAATCAATTCAGATAATGAAAATAATCAACAAAAGCTCCAATGAAAAAATATATAAATTCAAGTTTTGATAAACAAAAAAACATAAGAGTTAATGGGTATATTATATAACATTTATGTAAATTCGTGATGTTTGATAGTCTAACATTGTTATATGTTTTGATTCTTATAGTTCAATCATTTAGAAAATGTTTTAAAGATTCATCTTAATATTAAGTATAAAAACGTTTATGAACTTTAATATTAATCTCATTGATGTCTTATATACCCATATATATATTGAATTATTTTTAGATTTTATATAAATCTTAATTAATATCGATTTTAAAAATTTGTTATTAATTTGTTTAGCATGCGTACTAAAACATACGTGTATAAACATTATTTTATACAATTTATTTTATAGTAAAAATTTACAGTATAATATATCTTTTTTTAACACTGTTAATTTTTTTAATTTTTAAAACATAATTATTAAAGCTTCTAGTATACATTAATTTAGCCATAATTTTTTATAGATTTGTAAAATTTAAAAGAATATTTTATTATTTAATATATATTATCAATTTAAATAGTAGACTATTTATTTTAAATTATAATGTTCTATAATACAATAAATACAAAATAATGGTGTTCGGAATTGGAGCATGTAATTGAGGCCCTCGGTTCTCAGAAACTTTACATTTCCTTTCGCAGAATTCTCGATTAGCTCAAAGCTTAGACTCTCGAACTTTTAACAAGGCTGCTTAGCCTTCGCATAGCAATGTCTAATCACTAAACTAAATAATAAAATTCAACCATAAGAGGATCGAAGAAATCAAATAATTTTATATTGATATATTATTTATTTTAAATTACTTCAGAATGCTATGTACATAATTGGTCAATACGATGATTATATCTAATACGATTTTTTATCATTACATCGTTCCGTCGACAATATTTGCATAGTAAATTCAAATCTATTAATATTAATTAGTATTTATTTATTTATACCACTAGCAAATATGTGGCTGAATTATCTTCGTGCATACTAATAGTAGGTATAGTTTTGTATATAATAAAATTATGCAATTTCTTGCGCTTTATGCAAAATGGTACATTTTGCCTTATATATATTATCAATGCTGTACTTGTTTGCGATCTCAATATCATGTTATTAGTTGTAAAAGGATTTTATTATCTTTATTAATTATGAAATTTAGTCTTTAAATAATACAAATTATGTATTATTATTTTAAATATTACAAATAAATTTTGATTTTATACGAGATTTTTGGACTTTTATATTTTGTAATATTTGTTCTTATTCATTATATTCAACAATATTACATTTTAGAATTTAATTAGCATTACTAAAAAGAATAATTTCTTATGACTAATATTGAAATATTTTATAATAGAATTTGGATATAGGAATTAAAATCATGGGTTTATTCATTAAGATTTTCATCAAATTAGTTCTTTTTTTGAATATTTAATAATTAGTTTAAATAAAACTATTAAATTAACTATAACTTTACTGTATAAGATAAATTAAGAGTAATAAGTTGATATTATATTATAACATGTAAGTAATAAAGTGGTTAAATAATTAGATTATTAATGTCTACTGGATAATTTATTTTCTGCAAATATTATGTATAGATAAATGATACTTTTTTTCATAATTTTCACCACAAAAATATTAACATTAAAATATAATTTTGTAAATAATATTTAGCAATATTTATTAATTATTATATGATATATCATATATATATCGTATATTATAATATATATATTGTTCGAGATTGCGAGACCTTTTTTCAATGCAATATAACATATGGCAAAACAACATCGTAAAATTTGTGTTTGGATTTCAAAACGTTCTTGCTCGCAACTATCTAGCAATAGTGTCATAAAACATCTGAAAACCCCACTCAGGCATATTACAACGAAAAGGATATACACTCATCAACACGTAACAATATAGAAATATATTAAATAAATCATACCATTACTCATATACTTCATGATCATTAATTATTTATTATATTATCATATTTAATAAAGGGAAAGACAAATAAATATTACAAGTAGTCTTGAATAATTGTATTGTCCCTTCAACTTGCCAGCAATACCTCCACCCAACATCCAACGGAGGTTTTCAGTCTGATCCCAGACAGTGCACCATGCTAAGCAGTCAAGAGTGGTGATTGCATTTCAATAGTGAATATTAAATAAATTGTACATCACCTACGCACTTGTTATACATTTAGGTAGGACATTAATTTTCTGTGAAACTTAATTGACCAAAAACCACTTGATGGCGCAACCGTGTCAGCCGAGTTTGACACTGATTGTCACGAACTATCGTGAAGTCATGCGAACGGCCGAGGTTATCAAACTCATTTTTGTAATCGGAATGTACTCTGGATTAAGGCGTTGCAACTTTCTGTATTAAATGTCGCTGTATTCAAGCACTAAGACGTCGTTGTAATTGGAACTGTACTCTGGATTAAGGAGACAATCTCCACGGTATCTCAATAAGTACCACAGCACACACTACCAAGATAAAATGAAGACATCATTATATTCGTCATCAATAGGAGACTCGTAACTAAGGGCCATACGTGGCACTATACAAGGAAAGTCAAGGATTTACGCCCTTGCACTTCTCAATCAACACCAAGAGGAACTAGAGATTTACAACTTCTAACCTTGACTTGCAGTCTATGCTATCTTCACTTTAAAAAAACCACTAAGGAATGGTAAAATCTCACAGATTTTCAACACCATCTTAGAATTATTATTATTGTATAGTTTGTAAAATAAACTGCAATAAAAAGCACAATAAGCATGCATGTAATTATTGAATAAATGCGCTATCCTTTCCATTTGTCCGCACTTCTTTGCCCCACCAGGCAACTGTTGGTCATAGTCTAATCCAATCCTTTTGGTCCTTTGACCACCGGATAATGGAATTCTAAATATATATATATATATTGGCATATTGTTCACTTTATATATCTTTTTTATTTGCATATTGTTCACTTTATCTTTATTTTATATTTTTACTTTATATTAGCAAATACCTTTAACATACCTTTTATATTTCTTAACTTATGTTTTTTTTAGTTTTGTGAAAAAGAATTCGCAATTTTTTGCGGGTAACATTTCAACTTCATTATTTTTATCTTCTTTTTGCGCCCGTATATTAGTTAAAATGATGGTGTTTATTAGTGGTCACGTGAATGAAGTTGCAGTATTATTTTAAATTGTATTAAGTATTTTTAATTATAATTAAATATAATAGCTATATAATTAAATTACAAAAATCTTAAAATATATTTGTATAAAAGAATCAATTGTAATTACAAGACTAAAATTAAAACCATTAAGTTTTTTTTCGTTATTTATAATTATTATCTGCGTACCTAAATTTTATATAAATTTCATAATTACAATTCTTAGAAAAAAATATAAATTATTATAATTAAATTTTTACATTTTATACTTTGATTATTTTATTTTTAGTATATCTAAATAGATATAGTATATCTATTTAGTTTTCTGTGTGATATTTATTGTAAAGGGTTGAAAAAAATATATAAGCATTTTAAGTAGTATATAAATTTTATGTGATAAATTTTATTTGTATTCGTGTACTTATTCTCGATGTACTAAAACATATATTCCAAGGCATGCAAGAATCGCATATTTGACCTTTGGATATTCATTCATATATATTGTAACCATTCCAACATAGGGTAAAAATCCTTGTGCTCGACCAACAACATCTTTATGACTAAGCCATAATTGACCTGGTACATATAATCCTCTATCATCAACAGAATTATTATCACCTTTCGTTAAGAATTTTACTGTACCATTCTTACCACCTCTGAAAAAATCATTAATAATTTATACATATATATATATATATATATGTGTATATCTATATATAAAATAAAAACAATTAAAAACTAACATTTTATTTCATTGGTAATATTTTTAGATATAATAAATACAATACATTTTATTTATTTTTTACAATGTGTTAGAATAGAATTATTGCACGATTTTGAACAATTTTTTATATGCAAACAATATACATTTACATTAAATAGTAAAATTTATATGTAAATATATTTCCAAATAATTTTTAATATATTTTCTAAATTCTATTAATTAAATATATGTATTGTTAAAAAGTAATTATTGGAACATTTTTTTAAATTGCCCTTACTATTTGAAATTGTTAAAAAAAATTTTATTAGGATATTTTATATAAGTATATCTATATAAGTACACTAATTATTTTTTTATGTTGAATACGTTATTTTTAATTTTTTTTCAAAATTCCTTTTATTGTTTTTTTTTAATATTGTAAAGAAATTTATTAAGTCATTGATTAAACAAAATAAAACTATTAAGTTATAAAATTGTTAAATAAACACTTAAATTATGTAATATAAAGAGCTACTGCAGTAATATGAAGTAAAAAGTATCAATACTTTTAAACTTATTACGAATGAAATTTGCTTACATAAAATGTTTTTAGTTTAATTTTTTACATTTTAATTTAAATATTAATTTTGTAATTTTTTTTGTGTAACTCAATAGTAAATATTAATTTTCTGTGACCTTGTAAAAAATATACACATGTTTGTTAAACTGATAAGAAAGTTTCATCCAATTATGTTGACATTTTTATTTAAAAAAATTGATATTTTGTTGACTGAGTTATAAAAAAGTCTGAAGATATATTACGTATCATATTTACATATAGAATTCGAGATCAACCATGCATAAGTTTTACATGATAGTTAAGCATATACTATTTACAATACATATAGAAAAAATCTTAAAATTAATTACTTAATTCAATTAATTTTCATACAAATTATACAATTTTTTACTAGTTTTTTAATTGTATTTCACATTATAAAAGCTGAAATATGCGACTAAATACTATATTAAATAAATTCTAAATTGTCCAGAAAAATGCTTCATAGGATATATCAACTGTATTAATGCAAGAGTGTACAATTACAAAGTTACTTATATGGAGACTAGTAATTTCCAATGTGTGGAACGTTCATCAATGTGCGTAAAATATCAAAAATTACAGTTTAAATTAAATAACAGACAAAAAAACCAATATGTACATTCTATAAAAATAAGCAAAAAAATTAATGAAATATCTATATAAAAGCTAGTTATTAAACCAAGCAAGAAATCCAGTTGATAACTATGCTGTCAATGTTTGAAACATTTGATAGACAAAAATATATAATTTATGTAATTTATAACCAAATAAATATTTTTTTAAATCAATGAAATTCGGATTTCTGAATATCGATCAACATTCAAGTAAAAAGAATTGTCCAGAACGCTGTAGGCAACAATACTTTAAGTTTACATATTTACGATATAATTGTATTTATGTTGGAAAAAGGCTCAAATCTAACTAGATAAGTAAAAAACTAATATATTGTTGAAATTTACCAAAGTGTGTTTAATAGAAGAGCATATGTATAATAAGAATATTGAATTTTAAAATCTGAAAGAAAATTATTCAAAAACTTGTAAAATCTAAAAGCTTCTAAAAGTACTATATTGATAAGCCTTAATCGAGAAATTCATATGTATTATATTTAAATATAACATTATAGGTACTTCTTTTTTCAATTTCCAAATTCTCTTTACCTAGTCTATACAATATCTTATTTATATTATATTTAATTTATTAAACCATATATAAATTTATATAATGACATTATATAATCAATTAAATAAACTCTTTAATGCCTCTATTATATAATATGTATACAAATGATGTACTTACTTTTCATGTAATTTCATAACTCTATGCACAATAGGTATTTGACGACCTTCAACTTTGAAAACGACTATTTCTCCTACTCGTACTGGTTCTTCCAGATTATTTGTTAAAAATAGTAAATCTCCTCGATGAAATGCTGGTTCCATACTTCCACTATATAGTTAAATAATATTGTCTACATTTATAGAGTAATTTAAAAAAAAATTTTTAAAATGATTGAAGATTTGAAATTATAAGTATTAAATAATAAATATAAATATTAATTATAAATATCACAGTTAAGTTCTATAGTTTATACGTTGTTTCTTGTTAATTTATAATTCAATAATTAAAAACGTCAATAACTTCTATTATAAATATAGTATTGATATTGAAATAAGTTATGTAAATATATTTATACAAAATGCTATTACTTTTGGATTCGACTAATTCGTAATAATTAGCGATCAATATATTCTTTATTTATTCCCTTTGTAATTTATAATATAAATAAGCATTCACATAAAAATTCTAAACAGTGCCTGTTATGATCAAAGAAAATAAAAAATTTGTAAATAATCTGATACCACTTAAAAGAATTTCCCGAATATTAGAAAATGCAATAAGTATATATGTAAAATTTCGAAGTGATTAAAAATTTATCACTTACGATTTTATGTGACATTTATTATAAATAAAAGAAAATTGAAGGAACAATAATAATAAAGAAATCCTTGAAAATATATTATTGTTTTGGTAAAAGTGGAAAATAAACTGAAAAATCTAAGTTAAATTGGAAAATCGGCATTTAAGACTGTAGTAAAAGTATAATTAATTTAAATTACATAATTTTTATAATGTAATTATCTCCTAATACTGGAACCCAATATAAATAAAACAGTCAATGTTAACATAATTCTTTTAGTAGAATGTAAATATTGTTTTTATCCAACTTGACTATATTACGAAGATAAGTAATGTATATAAAAGTGAACTATTCTAAATAAATTGATGCATTTATATACGAATATATATATGTACATGTAATATTTTTGTATATAACTTATATCAGCATCATATACTATTCCGTAATATTTCACTAATATTGTAGTATATATTGTTTTGTTTTTGTCCCTTTCTCGATACAAACTAAATATGCAACTAAATATATATGTTAAATTCGTAAAAATATAAATAGGATGCTATGTCAATTTTGTAAAGGTATATATAATAATAAATACATATAAATTTGGTTCATTTGGTTGAACTTGGTGGTCTGCAATTGAGATGAGTTTAAAAGGTACAAAATTATTAGAGACCATAAAATCATAAGGATACATCTTGAAAGCTATCTTTGTACATTATATCATAATATAACAGCAGGGCTTCGATATTAAGCCCTCAAATCTCTTTACAGTGTTTTGTAAAAAATTCAATAAAGTATTCGGAAATAAGACAGATTAATAGAATAGGATAATAGGATTGAAATACGATTCTTATTGCTTTAGGTTATTAACGCTTGCAAATTGAAAACCTAGTGAAATATATGAAATCTTTACCACGAAATAATTTGTTTCGTCAAAGTATCTTTAATAAATACTCTTGATTTAATTCATTTACTGCAAGTAATAAAGTACAATAAATATATCAATATTGGATTAAGTATTATTTTATCTTATTAACTAGTTTACTAATTATATTAATTTTTTCACATCTTCGTAGGTTTTATAATTTTCATATTTAATTTGTAATCAGTGTTAGCATGAATTTATTTGGATTCGTCCAACTGAATATTACAAAACAGTAATATAAAAAATTATAAACGTACGAAAATTGATAGAATAAGTCTAAAAATAAACATCAAATTGTATAATATCGAAAACACGTAAATATATAAATATTTATTAGTTTTTAAATATTTATTTTCAAGAAGCATTATTTACGTTTCAACAAAAAGGAACGGACTAATATTTGTCAAAAATTTTAGCTAAACATAAATATTTAAATATTAAACAGAAGTACAACTGGAAACAAATATAATTTAGAAATACTCTTTCAGATTGTAATAAATGGTCAAATATTGATTCATGAGATTTTTGACCATCAAAATTAAATAACAGTTTCTAAGCACACTCTAACAATCTTAAATGGCGTATATAAATGACTTGAGTAAATTTACAATATTGTTCAATGTAATCTTTTACATTATATTTTTTAAATTTGTACATAAAGTATGAAAAACTGTGAGCTGATTTGATTTTGATGAAAAACTTAAATTATATAAAAATTATTGTCATTGCTACTTCATTTCTTATTTATAGAATATGCATTTAGTCTGAAAAACCTACTTGTATCTATAGTGGGTAATAACAAATATTGGTATTCACCATGATTCAATTAGAAGTTTTCATATATTTTTAATATAATATAATAAATTTAATAAATGTATAACTAATTGACTCAATACCGTTTCGTGTTATAAATATAAAAAGCACGTGACTAATATTTAATAAGAAAATTTAAGTTAAGATAAAAATTCTAATAAAAAGAAATGAATATAAAATTAATTAATTTGTTCCATACATGGTCTTTAACTTTTTTTATGTAATAATTTGAGTTAACAATACTCTAATTGCTTTAACCTTCATTCAATCTACAATACAATTTACAATTAAAAACAATGTTGAAAAGAATATACTTTGTTAAAAAATAATCTAGAGCAATATTTTAAAATTAATAAACTATTTTTAATAGCAAAAGCTAAAGTATACGAAGATACCACACACTTCAAATAAATTGCAAAAATGGGAACTCTATAATGATTTAGATTTTTGTATTATTAAAAAACATAATTATTATTCTTCCAGACATGGTAATAATGTGAACGACATCAATATCCATTAAAAAAATATATGCAGTTATCAATGTTCACTTGATAGTTAAAATTTTGGTAAGTTTAATCAAATAAAGTTTGCACTTTGTTTGTGAACTCTCACATTTGTAATTAAAAAGAATTGTTTCAACTTTTCACATTCATCAGTTTTTATATACTTTCTGATGACAATATTTAAATATTTAATTGTTAATATTGGTAAAAAAAAAATTTTTATTATAGTAACCGTATAAAGTATAAAAATTTATAAACAAAAGTATTACTGTAAATATTTAAAAATAAAAGAAGCTTAGAAAATAAAATTATCAGAAATAAGAAAATATAAATTAATTGCTATTTATATGAAAATATGTTATAATGAAATGTATGAATTATTTGAGAATAAAACTTGAACAATTATTTTAAAGGTATGATTTTCCTTGCTGTATATAAGTTGTATTAACAAAATGAAATAAAGCTGCTTACAATAACTATATTAAATTTTACCTTAAAACAACAACAATTGGACTTTCACTTCCAGTGACAACCATTAATCCTTTCCAAATCATCAAAGCAGAAGATACTATCATTCCAAAACTTAAAATTTGATATAATAGCTAAAAAAATGAATTTTCATTTAAATAAAATTATAATATCTTAATTACAAATACAATCATTTAATACAATTTTTAAAACTATTTAATATATTACGATTTATTTCTTTGAATTATATAATTTCATTTATTTTGATAAAAAATAAAATAAATTTTTGTTCATTTGAAAATAATTAACTTGAAGTATTTTAACAGATTGACAAATACTTTTATTTTATTTTTTAATATTAATTCCATTTTTTAATTTTAAATACAACATTTAATTAATAAGAATAACATATTTTTTAAAAAATATATTTTTATAATACTAAATTATAACAGATATTTATTCTTCTTATAAACTTATTATTAGTAGTAGTAATATTATAATTACATCTTTCAATTTAATCATTTTATTTTACAACAAACACAAAAAATCAGAATTTCACTTACAATAATACACTTTATGACAAAAGAAAAATGAAGTTTATAATTACATAAGTTATATTTTTTTATTTATATAGATTTAAAATAATAGATAGGTTAGTAAAACTGATCATCAATCCTTAAGATAATTTAATACAAAAATATATCAATTCATAGTAGACTTTGAAATGATTAACCACAATTTGATATATTGAATTTGGAATAAAAGAATCATGTAAATCATCAAAACTATGCAGATTTTTTATTAAATTTATTTGTCTATTTTGTATTAATAATTGTCTTAATAAATACTCAATTCTGTTTCTTTTAAAAATGAAGTAAAATAAAAATTTGTAATATATAATCCTCAGTTAATTAAGAATAAGAAAGCATTAAATTTTTGTTTACATTAATTTTTTTATAAAAAATTAAGAATGAATAAGATATAAAAGAAAATATAAAATGATAATGTTATATTAAAATAAATATGATCCTCTATTATATTATACCAAATTTGATTTTTACTATTATCAAAAGTAAAATTAAAAAAAATGAAACTTTAGTAATCTTACTTGGCGTTTATTCATCCGCTTTAAATCATCAAATATATTTTGTAACATATTGAGAATTAATTTAAAGTAAATGTTTAATAATTTTGAAATGTAACCCTATTTTCTATTTCTTTTTATTTTTGTGACGTTGGCACACGCAGGTATAATATGTTTACATAGATTAAAATTAATATTAAAATTCAAATTAAAATAGCGGTAAATTTAATTGTTTAATATTTTAAAAACCTGATCTTTGATAAAAAAGATTAGAAAATTTATTAAACTCTTCTATTTATTAAATTTGATTTAAACTATTAAACGTTTTTACTATAAAGATAATAAAAATTAGAACAATTAGTAATCACCATTTTAATTAATTTCTTTTAAGAACGCTTTAAATATGTTTACACATTAATAGAACTAAATATAAATAATTGTGTAAATAATAGTAAAAATATAGAAATATTATATAACATATATATAATTAAATATGTTTATTCAATAGTTCTTATAATTGTAATGATTACATTAATTAACATTCGAAAAATATATATTATAATAATTAATAAAAAATTATATTTTAAATAGTATAGATTACTACTCCGAATAAAGTTTATGGATTATTATTCTTGTGGTAATATGCTTATTAATAGTAGGTCAAACGTTTAATAAAAAACATATATTGATAAAAAAATACAATAATAAAACACACATATAGTTAAGCAATATTTATGATGAATTAAGCAATATTTATGATGGTACATGGTGTCTTTCATTGATATTTTGGAAAATATTTGAGACGTCCATTTAGATCATTATTAAGCTTTATTTTATTCTTTATTCTTTACAAAGGTAGTAATACCTTTAAGTATACACCAAAGTACAAAGTATATAACAAAAATTCTCGTTCTATAATAAAAAATTTGTGATCAATTCAATGCTATTAAATCTATCTATACCTTTTTGACGCTTGGTTGATGTTTCCTAGCTGAGCTTTAAGTGAAATATTCATTAAAAGTGCAATCTTAATTGTAGAAGTCGTATATGGCTGTAGACCATACAGAATCAAAAGATTAAAATGTAATTGATACGATATTGCTCTTCAAAATTTTTAAATTCATTAGAATACATATTATTAAACCCGATTCCTGGGTTGACATTGTAATACAAACTATGATAATATGCTTTGTAAATTATGAATAAAATTGAACTATTGTAAATATTTAAATTAATATTATATCAGTATTAATAATATACAATATAAATATTCTAAAGTTGAATATATTTATCAAGAATAACTTGATTAATTGTAAAAATATAAGTAGTACATCAAACTAGTATAAAAAAAGAAATATAATTTTAAATATTGAAAAAAATAAAGATTAAATAACGTGTTATATACCTGTTTGAGAATGAGAGACTCTTTTTTAATGCAATAAAACATCTGGCAAGTAATATCGTGAAAATTGTATTTAAGACTTCAAAACTTTCCTGCTCATAATCATTTTGCACTTGTGTCATAAAACATCTGGAAAACTCTAGCAAAACGTGCTCATGCTCCCAGTGCAGTAGAACCTAATGGGTTTATTGCCGGGAGAACCCAAAAGTAGATTCAGAATGAATATCAGATATGCGTAAAGCATTGAGTACAAAACGTGCAATAACCTGCAATGACCATACGTGCGCACTCGGCTTTTAACACAATGCTTGCATTGTTCTTGGCTATGCCACATCTGGTCGATCGCATTGGAAAATTGACCACGCCCAAGCGGACCCTTTGTTTAGCCAAGTCCCAGAGAGGGATGAGGCAACCAAGGAGAGGTGACCAATGGAAAAGGCTCGCCACCTTCCGGCACTTTCCCGATTAGCAAATTCGGGACTGATCCCGGAAGGAAGTGGAAATGAAGGCGTGCATAATCTATTGTGCGGCCCAAGATCAACCTCAGATTGGTTAATTAATAAAAGAAGAAGGGGTCCCAAGTAGAACGGAACCAGTGAACCATTTAAGAAGGGACAACGTAATGTACCTTCACTTATTCTTTTCTAACACTTCACACACAATTGAAAGATAAGTCACGACTTACTCTCACGGAGGAGGACCGGAGAGACAAGTCGTTTAGCTGAGTTTTAATAAGAAGTTCTTTCTACAATTGTGAATTAGTATACAGTTGAATTGATCTCATCAAGACTAGATTGCATATGACCAGACCACTTGTGATCTCACTTGGAGATAAGGAAAGAACTTAACAGTTGCATTATTGCAAGGGAACTTCACAACAAGCCAACGAAGAGAGACTGGAAAAATCACGATACACGGCAATTAAGTCATTACTGCTAGTACTGTGGAAGAATCACGCTGCACTGTAAGTAAGTCCTTACAGCTAGTACTGATTCTTGATTTCTCGGTTTAAGTAGAAAGCGGACGAATTAAGGTCCAACTACAGAAGCTTTCCAGACATACTGTACGACAAGACCAGCTACAGACGCCATAGTGGCTTTTCAATGCCTCCAACGATAAGTTGTTCCCGCCGCAGGTGGCGCACAGCTTCGCATAACCTCAATTTAGGCCCATATTTAGAGGCAACTGCACACGTATTGAGTTGAAACACGATAAGATTGTAGTGTTCGATCAGAGCACTAAAACGATCATAACCTCAAAAGTGGTAATATTCAATAGATTATAACCTATTTCTTTTCACAATAAATCATTATCTCACCAGTTACATGCAGAGAATAAGGAATTGATTATCCTCTAGTTCTCTAATAAAAGGATATATCTCAACGCCACAAGAGTATTAAGAAATATAAAGGTCATTGGTAATTTCACCATGGTTAATGATGATTCCAACATGGAAATAAAGTGAAATAAATGGAATAAACAGCAATAATAAAGATATGTTTTAATTATTGAATCGGTGCATTAACCCTTTACTTGCCCAGCAATCCCACACAACATCTTGTGGGTTTTTTTGTTCTAAGTTGATTTTTGCACGTTTGGCTGACGAGTCAGATTGTGGAATTATTTTCTGAACAATACCAATAAATGAATGATTTTTTATTACAGATATTTCTATCTTGATCTATTTAAAAAAAATGATATATATAAAAGAATTGGTACACTTATAATGTATATAGTGTAGTAACACTTGTACTATTCGTATAGTAAATCTTTATTTAATTGGCCGAAGAACAATAATTTGAAAAACAAAAATGTGTTAATTATTAATAATAAAAATGTTTAATAAGTGAATTGAATTATAATATAGCAATGACAATGCAAAATGACCCAATACCTGATAACACTAGTTATTTATCTATAATTAATTAAAATAAACCATGACTAAAAATTCTACTCTTTTATAAATAATACAAAGAATGCTAAATTTTATGTTAATATTTATCAAACAGCGCATAGTTTTCTTAAAATTCAAAACTTTCAACAAAGAAAATATAACTGACACAAACATATGTACATAATTACACAATATATATGCATATTAATGAATAAATTAGGACTACAGATTTAACAAAAACTAAGAACCTGACGCATTGTAGTTGAAGCGAGAAAATTTCTATTTATTTTTTAAATATATGATCATATTATATAAAATAATAAGAAGGTGTACTATTTTTAACAGAATATTTGAATCAGGAGCCTTACAACCTTCTACATCCAAAACGTAGTGCACACTAACGCCATTGCCAATCACCACGAAGATAAGGAAGAAGTAATAATCAAATAAATTGATGATGGCGGGTGGTATGTTACGGATTGGAGCAAGGTCCAAGATTTTGAAAAGTGGAAAGAGTACAATCTCTCGTATGCTTATGTTTGTAAAAAATTGAATTCACAAATTCTTAACTATTCTTTGTCTTATGTCTAGCATTCTACAATATTTCCGTATAGCAACGACGATTGTCAATTATCAAACGTTACATCGCAACGTCCTTCTAGACTTTCTATTATTCTGTAATTTTTGTTCAGATGTTATAAAGAGCTGTTGTCTAGCAACAAGCTCAAGCACTGCTGCGATCAATGCAAGCTGTCTCACTATATATATATATATATATATATATATATATATAAGAACAGTTCATCACGAAATTTACTCACTGTATTTTTATCTATCATCAACCATCAGTTATTATCGCAATCCATCATAATCCTTTAAATGTTATTAACATATATCTGACAACAGCGACGACTTCACGTACATCTACAACAGCTATGGCTTACATTAGCAACGGCTTTACGTACATATATTTAAACAGCTACGGCTTATAACAGCGACTGCTTAACAAAACAGCTACAGCTTACATCATATCTTAAACAAAAAACATATACAAAACATATGTGAGACTGCTTAAAGAAGTACAGAGATTTACACCTCGTGCTGCTGCAAGTAATAAAATTCATCATCATTTGAAAATCACTGAAGAAACTTCATAAATTTATAATCATTTTAAAATCACTATTAATATAATTCTACAAACATCATTTATAATCATATTATTGTATTCAGAAAATAAATAGAAAATCAAAATACACTGTGAGTTAAATTGAATAATTGCGTCTGCCTCCTCCCCTTGCCAGCAAACACTCCCACCTAACATCATCGGGAAGTATTTTAAGTCTGATCCCAGACAATTACATTATTGTATAATAACTAATTCTCTTTTTCGCCGAACGAACAGCTGTACACAACTCATGTATATACTCAAATATGTTTATTCTAAGATTCTAAGTCTATTTTAATATTGAATTTTTATATACTTTAAATGTATTAAATGAACAATCATTGAAAGTGTATTACTCATTTTTATTGAATACTTAATTATAAATGTGCTTAATATTTGTAATTATTCAATATTGAGTAAATTGATGTGAATACTATAAATGACATTGTTCGAGATTCTCTGAATCTCTCGAATGTTATCAATTGGGGAAAAATTCCAACAGCTATCATTTCAAGGAAATTATTCAACGGTCATAACTTCTAACAAAATTCTCCAACGCTCATTGGAGGTTCGAAAAAGTCTGTACATATGAAATGATACACGTGCACAATCACTTCCATTGTTCTTAGCACTACACATGCGCCAATTGTGATTTGTTGATTTATTGGATTCAA